ATAACAATTCGACATGCCGACACGTAAAATTGAATTCTCACCATGACATCACGTGCAATTCGATTGTCTCTAATTCTGCAGTTGTCACGACACGAACGATAACCGGCGTGCCGCAAACATTTAACGAAGCAGCGTTACCGTTCGAGTTATCTGCAAAATCTGCAGTTTTCCCGGTCTAGGATCGCGGGAAACTCCGCGTGCAATTTCCCAGGATAGAATTACGTAGAATCAGGGCTTCGTCACATGCTTGGATACTCTCCAAAATCACCCTCGTCTATTACTCTAGAGTTCAGCCGGCTGACGCGTTGGTTCAGAATTTAGCTGAGCGATAGTCGTGAATCACATTCGTTCGCCAAAGACAGGTACTATACTATGCGCAAAGCGTCATGCGTTTCCACGAACGTATCTGGGAAATCATAGTCGGTCTCTCTCCCTCCCTCTCTTTCTCCTCTTTGCTCTCTCTTTCTCGCTCTGTCTCTCCGTTCATATATACTCCGGGCATATCGCGTGCGGTCATTCAGTAACTTGAACGAGCCACCGTATACGTCGGCTCCGACGCTCGTCTCGTCCCTTCAGACACGGGATTCACGGGACCCTGGATCTTCGAAACGCTGGCGTGCCTCCTCCCGGACCCCCGATCAGCGCTTCCCAAACTAGGGTTCCGTAAGATGACGAGAAATTACACGTTCTCCGCCGCCTGTAAAGCTTATTTAAACGACGCACCGTCCGCTTTAGGGATCACTAATGCAGCCATAAATATGTAAGTACATACGGGCGCGAATATTGACTTTGTTTGCTCTCAACTGCCACGAGTTTATTTTCTCTCTCTCTCTCTCTCTCTCTCTCTCACTTTCTTAGTTTATTTTTATTTATTTAGAATAACGCGGGAAGGCATTAATTAAATTAAAGGATTAATTTATTCTATAAAAAATAGTAAATTTCCTCCCCTTTGCTTTCTGGGAGATCCTAAAAAACCATTAAATATGAATCCTTGGGGGCAGAATTGCTGAAAAAGATATTTGAAAACTGAAATTGTGTCCGATGGATCCTGGAGTTGACAAAGGAAGCCAGATTGTTCTAGAGGGCAGCACAGTTACAAATAGTCTCGCCGATCGACATTCTCTAATCATACTATCGGAATTTCATTCAAAAACGCATAAAATACTGAAACATTCCATTCTATCATACTCGCTCGTCTGATTCAATTACATCGCAAGACGCACAAGTATATCTTCCTCCAACCCTTACTCAACGGGGTATCGAGGGTCTTATTCATTAGTTCGTCGACAATAAACTCGGTCGAAACTTGGAAGAATAAAACGGATATAGTATCCCGAGGTAACCGCTCTATACATCTACTCGGTATATCCAGCCCCGTTTATTCTTCCAAATTAGACTCCATTCACATTCGGAGTGGAGGAACCGAGCGGAGATCGAAAGCCCAATGTGTGCATCCGTACCGATCCTCGAAAGCGGTCCAGCCAACCCTCTCTTCGGAGCGCAAGAGGGTGCGATTATTCCCCGGTAATTCGATCGTGCGGCTCGAGTTGGGAAATAGGACGGCAGCTGCGAGAGGTCCGCGCTTTCCCCGGGTGCGACACAAGCCGATCCCTTCGGGAACCGGCCAGCCCGCTCGAGGGACCGGCGTCAACTGATAGGATCCGTTGAGCCGGACGCGGCGAGCCTCGCTTGCTCCTACGGCCTGACCCACAGCTTGGCCTGTGTCGGGTCTCTCTCATGCCGCCTACCATCGGATAGAGCCTGACGATTCGTCGGCCGTGCGCCGGCCACGGTTTGTGAGTGGCAAACGGGCTGGTGTGTATGCGTGACGTGTCGTCGCCTCCTGTGTGCGGCTCATATAACCCCGTTGTGTCTCGCGCGAGTGCTTACGAGCGAGTGCGTGCGTACACGCCGCGCACGCGGCGTTCGTTAATACCGTTTCCGGCGCGCGGAGCTCCGAGTTGTACACACGGTCTCTCGCTTGTGTGTCGTGTTGTGCCCGCTCTCTGTGTGTGTGTGTGTGTTGTGCACCGCGCTCTCTTCGTCATCGTCCGTCACTGGCCGCCGTCTTCTTCGTGCGCGTCTTCTCCTTCTTCTTCTTCTGTTGCTGCTTCTGCTTCTTCTTCATCTTCATCTTCCACGCTGCGTCGCGGTTTCCGCTGTTCCGTTCCTCTCGCGGGAGGTCAGCACCTTAGCATCAGTAGGTAGGTAAGCGCGGAATGTGGGCTTCGGGGTTGCTGCCGCAACACTGTCGGGACGTGGAAGGTGCGGGAATTGCCGAGAGAGGAGAGAGAGAGAGAGGTGGACCTCCCATTACCTCTTGAAAGAAGAGCTCACGGTGAAATATAAGCGGCCGGTTTCGCTTGGTTTTTTCTCCTCTTTGTGTTACCGGCCAACGCGGGGGATCCGTGTGTCCCGCGTGTGAAACCGCCGAGCTGAAGTCGCCGCGACGATTGGACGGTTCGTCGCGAGTGTCGGCTGGTCGCTTCGGGGCTTTGATGAAAAATCGCGTGCGAGGGGTATTACGATGCTGTGGGAACGATGCTAGATCTTTCGGCCGATCTCGGGAGAGACGAGAGAAAGAACTCTCGGGCCGTGCTCGAGGCCGGTCGTCGATTTCTCAACTGATAAGAACGCGATTTGAATGTGGAGTTAGGTTTCCTGCTCGCGGGAATAATGAGGACTTTAACGCATGGTTAATCCCCCCGCCTCGCGCTCGCCTCGTGAAACGCTCTCTTTTCGCGCTCACACCGGCGATCAGACGCAGATTAACGTTTAACCCGCCGTTTTGTCGCATCCTGCGTTACCCGTAAGGTGCCCTTCAAGGCATCTCGCCGGGAAGTGTCTCGTCTTCTAGAAAATCACTCCGAGTCTCGGCATACTTGTACGTTATCTATGATTTCGTAACGCGCTTCACCATGAGAAATGCACATTTCGATGGGATGTCGTATCTACGAAGTGCCGGGGAAAATGAAATGCCTCGAGTGTGAGAAGATAAGAGAAGAGGCGATGATTCAGCGACGGGGGTGGTTCGCCCTACTCTTGCCGTCGTGTCTGTCTGTGTTGTTTACGGACAATGTGCGTAGTAGAAAAGGCGTAGAGGAGCCACGTGAGCCGTTAGAACTCGATTGGGACATCCTCGGGGCACTAAAACCGTGGAATTCCACCGTGCGTGTTCGGCGCAGATAAGAGAACAATTTCGAAAGCGCGTTTCCGCGCAATCCGTTGCTCGAGGAGTGCAAGTAGGAACACCCACATCCATTTCTGAGAGGTGATTTCGCAGGCGTGAGAGGCGTCTCGATAAAGAAATCGATCGGGAGCCCGCTTTAATTCCGACGCTATCATCAACACGTGCGTGTATTTTGTTCGGACGGCGCGTTTAGCAATATCGGATAATCCCGTTAGTCACGTCATCCCCGAATGAATAATTTGCGCTGACCGGCATTCTGAGAATGATATCAGCGACATATCGCATTCATGCCCGTTCAAATCTACGGTTCGCACAAAATATAATATAAGCGCAACGCTTGCAGTCCCCGCATCTTCCGAGAAATGCAACGACACTTCTGCAACGAGCTGCGCTACTTCGTGAACTTGTACACGCGGCAGATAACCTTGCCGTGTACCAATCGACAATTATAGAAATGTTTTTCAACGAGATAGAAAAAGTCCAGCGATCATATTTCCGCGTGAAAAATCGGCGCATTTTCGTCGTTTATTTTTCGTAAAACCGTGCATCGGAGCACCACGCGTGTCGGGACGATGTGTCGGCTGGTGAAAAGAAAAAAAGCGACCAACTGTACTTGGCGTGTCACAGTTTTAGGACCAGCCAGACGCTATCGAGGCGATGTTACGGTACTGGCCGCGCGTACTCTACTAGTATACTCACGCTCGACTTTTCGTTCTAGAAATAGAAGTGAATGAGAGCGTTGAGCAAGTGTTTGTTGTGTGAAAGACTTGAGCACATAGCAGTGTCAATCCGAACGGATAATCTAGAGACAGTGACGGCCTGTTTACTTAGCTCGAGTAGTCTAGCGCGCGGCCGAACGAGGTCTCGAAATTCCGCCGGCCGAATCTTCGGTATCTTTAATTAGACGGAGCCCGCACGATTTATTCGAGTTCATAATTAGATCGTCACCCGCGTCGCCCGCTCCTCCCCACGGACGGTGTTCCACGTGGAAGGAACGACGCCCGCTCGTCGTCCGTTACGAGATACGCGGGGAATATTCGCTTTCGATACGACACTCGAACGAAGCCAAGAAATCTCACCCTTTTTCTCAATCGCGCCTCTCGTACGCCGCGGCTTAATTCATCGGGACAGAATCGAGCCGCTTTGTGCATTCCGGCGTTGATAACGCGTTCTGACATCAATAGCGCGGCGGTCCGATTGAGAAACGCTCTCGGCGTTTCGAGATAATACGGCGTAAAACTTTTAACAAAACAGGTCGCGCGCGACTCCGCAAGCCGCGTCGTCGAGATTTAACAGAGGATTCTCCAACTTGGCGTCATACCTACCGCATCGAAACGAATTAATGGGCCCACGTATCGTCTTCGCGCGAACGTGAGCGCGTAGCAATTCATTCATGCAGCGCTTCCCCCCCCCCCTCTCTTCCCGCGCGCATCCACGCCCGACTTTGCAAACAATGGACCGTAAATGCGGCTTCAATTACGTTGCAATTGAGGCGACGCGTGATTTACGCACTACGTCGCCTTATCGCTACGTGCTACATAGTGCGTAAACATTGTAACACGTGTAACCTCACGGAAGCCGGCGCGGTGTAACCGGCATGACCTAAAATTTTTCCTCGACTCCGCCGGCAGCCGACTCTCGATTGGCTGAACATCAAGATACACATCCGACAACGGACGATACTCACTTTTGTGAAACAATGCTGAGGATACTTTCCTCTTCTATCCTTTTACCTTTGATGTGTTTGGTTTTTTTGTTTTGTTTGTTTTTTTTTTTTTTTTTTTTTTTTNGTCGTTCCTCGAGAGTGGCTCTTGCGTGGACGCGGTGCGAAATTAGAATATCGCATCTGCCTAATTTCGGATTTGTTCACAGAGAAGCTATGAGTCCGTCCAGATCAACGAGCACTTCATAATACCGCATCGAGCGATGCGATAAGGAGATTGAGTAATTCGACATTCCAATGTTCGAAAGTTCTTACGTCACCTAATTTTCTAACGGAAATCGTGCTTTTCTACATTTCTCTTCATAGTGCGGTCTCGTGTTCCAGAACCAACGTCGACATGTCATAATGTGTGTAACGTGCTTTAAATTGAATATTAAAAACAGAGAGATTCAGTCGAGAATCTCTTTATATTTCTGTGCTGCGAACGTGTGGGTATGTTTGAGTATCGCACGCGCGTCATTCGTATTACCGTATCTTTATCTAACATAAAGATTTCGCGTTATCGGTTTTCCCATGTCTTCCCACGGAGCGTTTTCTTATCTGCTGCGTCAATCCCGCGCTGTTTTTCTCCCTTTTATGGCTGTTGAAGTGGAACAATGTGACAGAATATCGTGTCTTTTCTGAGGCCTCCTGGCGGCGGCGGCGGAGTAGAAGAAAGAGCTGCAGGAAACAAGGGGAAGACTGCTCGAGAAAGGAAAAGAGCCTATTGTTAGGTGTTGCAAATGTTGAAGCCACGTTGAAGACCTTCGCAGTAAGAACGAAATTCCTTTCTTCCTGAAGGCAAGGGAGACAGAGAGAAAGAAAGTGAGAAACTAAAAAGGGAAACGTTATCGAAAGTTATCGTAAACGATGTGTAAACAATGAAAGATGTTATAGTCACACGTCGTGAAAGGGAGTGAAAATTTCTTCATATCCGCGTCGAAATTTCAGTCCTGGTTTAAATCTAATTTAGTTCTACGTTAAATGTTCAAAGGTCTTCTATTGTGCTCCTTTGACGCTGCGAGTGGGAACTTATTTCCGTTTTCTCCGCTTGAGGACTAACGTAGAATTAAAAACTCCGCCTCGGGTAGCTGCATTGATAACCAAATGCATTTTTAACGGACGGCACGTACAAAGAGACGGAAAGTCAAATGTTCTCTGCTCGGTCACCACCTCTGAATTATTTATTGACGTTAATATCATTTCCACACGGTGGTATAATGACTGGACGCCCCTATATTTTTAATGAAATGCGCAGGATACTCGGCAATTATCTTCGAATGCGATACACCACCCCAGCGGATACAAAATATCGCCGACATATTACTGCGTGTCCACTAAACAAGAATAAATATGAACGAGGAATAATTGAGAATACGCGAAGTACGCTCCTTCGCCTTCGAAGCGTCGAGTCAAGAAGAAGAAGAAGAAGAGAGAAGGAGAAAGAGAGAGAGAGAGAGAAAAAAAAGAGGAAGGTATTCTCACACTGCACTTCGCTGTCCTCAAACTGTCTCTCCTTCTCCAACGAAACCGTAGAGAAACATCTGCCTCTTCCAAGAAGGTGGTCTCGAGATAATGCCGCATGGAAACGTGCGCTCTGTACATACAAAGTTGCTGGCTTCTTCCAGAAGAGAAAGAAAAAGGGAGGGAAAAAAGGAAGAGAAAGAGAGAAAACGAAGACACGTTTTTCTCCGATCCCCGTGAACCGCGTGAACCCATATATTTCCCTTTCCCCTCACGCACTTCATTCACTTAGCAACAGATCTCGATCGCCATTGGGGATTTTTCCAGGCCGACCTCTGGAAATTTATGGCCGACGCGTTCCCGCTTAGCCTCTACGCTCTAATTCGACGTCGGACGTGCCACGGAGAAAAGGAAGAACAAGAGGAGATGTATAAAATTTTACTCGGCTCTCTCCGTTCGTTCGTTCCTTCCGTTCTTCCGTTCCGCTTTCCTTGCTCGAATCTCTTATCGTAAGAGGAAGTTGATAGAGAGCGACTTAATCAAAGCCGCGAGCACACATCCGTCCGCGGGACGTTCATCTCCAAAATTACCAATGTGGGTCACTCGGCACACATTATGTTTACCGTTGACACACACATACACACACACATTTTCTCACCACGACGATTGCTTAATGACGAAACGTACGCGCGCGTGTACTCTATAATATTAAATTAACCGTCGCCGTCGCACGTATATCCCCGACGATACTCTGCATTATCTTGTAACTCGGCATTTCCCACAGCATTCGAGCATTTAATGACGACCATGTGGGCTGCACTGAGAAAAAGGGAGCAAATCACGGAGTGATAACGAACGCGCGCGCTAGTAGTTTATTATTTCCTCCGGACTCTGAAGTCGCCCGTCTTTTTTCAGCATCCGGTTATTTAAAACCATTTCGGTTACGGCACAGATACGTCCGCTATCGCGTACAAAGCACAAACTTCGTATCTCTTTATGCAACCCAATATCTCGAGCTTCCTTTTAAACGTCGCTCCAATGCCGTGGACGTTTTAAGCGTGCAAACAGTACGAACGCGAATGTACGCCACTCCTCTTCCGTGTATCGTACAAGGACACGTAGGCCCTTCGTACTTCACTAACCGAAACCTGCGACCGCCTCATCAAACGGGGGATACCTTAACGGAGCGAGAAAACCACCGCGAATATTTCCTTCGACCGTCCAACGAGCATCGTCCGTCGAGAGGCCGAAGAGAACGAAGGGCAAAGACCCCGGGTGGTGTTGTAGGGCCTCCGTTGCATTTACAAGATGTTCTGGAAAGCCGACGATGAGGCCATCATGGCAGGCTATTATATGAGCGCAGGTGTCGGTGCAGATGTCGCGTAGCAGACGGTCCGCCTCGATCGGCCCGCGCGTTTGCGGTGCCGTCTCGAAATTTTAATAAAACGCGCGCGCGCGCGACAGAGAGGGGAAGAGAGAGGGAGAAGGAAAGAGAAAGGAAGAGAGCCGTGTATTTGCCTTGCGCCGCGGACCCGGGTGTCACAAGTGTGACTGAACAAACATGTATGCACGCATCACGATACACTGAGAATACATACGATACGCGCCGTATTGCATCTTATCCTTGCACATCTCCGCGCAGACGGAGATCCCCAATATGAATCTGTCAGACAGCGTGCGTTCGTAGGTGGTGATCGGCCGAGGAGAGAACTCTCGCGCGGCGTCTCGTGATATCCGGCCCGGACGTTTCAGGATTTCAGGTCGTTGTCGCTCACTGTGTGTCCTCTCTCTTTCTCTTTCTCGCGGTAACTTCGATGTTGTAGACACGGGAGAGCGAAGATTGTTCGGCCGTGTGTACACGGCAGGAAATATTACCGGCTTTCATTCATTCTCGTCTGGATACAATTGTCATCCTCGTGAGATAAGCTAAGTTACTGATTCCGCTTGTGAAAGTTGATCGAAGCAGCATTCTCGTGACTTCGAGGAATTACCGATGAACGTATTTGTCAGTAATAACCCAAGTAGCCGATACCGTTTCGAGTAACTCATATTTTTCATGTTTATAGCTGCCGCCGAGAGCCATCAAATACAACCCAGACAACACATGATAGTTATAAAAGATTTGAAAAATATAGATATTAAATATTTCGTAAATATCCAAACGTCCGGGAAGGTCAGGCGTGAGAAAGATGACGATAAATATTCAAAAATATTTATGATTATTTTTCATAAATAACTAAAACACGGTTTTACTTAAGTGAAATAATTTTTTCGCTATTTATGAAAATTATTCCCCGGAAATATTTTGGAATATTTATCATGATCTTCCCCGTGCCTAGCTTTTCCGGACATTTGAACATTTGCAAAATATTTAGTATCTATGTTTTTTAAATGTTTTACAAATATTTTGCTGTCTGGGAAATGACGTGTTAATAATGCCAGAGAGACGTCATCAGTGCATTATTAACATGTCATTTGACGACATTAATACGCCATTGTGTTTGCCGAAGATAATAAGGAGGAAATTTATTGTTATTCCAGGTAGAAGTCGAGATGTTGTGATGGCTGGTAGATCGCGACGTTCGAGCACAGAGCTCGAACCAGATCTATCGACGCCAACGGCCCCGAAGAAATCCAGGCAGTCTGAAACGTCACCCGGAAAATCGGCCGCGGAAGAGGACCCAACGAAATTAGAAGGCGCCGAGACACCGTCTAAGAGCGAGATCTCCTCGCGGACGGGAGTCGTTCAGGAAAAGGGGAAACATCTCGGGGAAACCGCTGAATCCGCGGAAGCGTCGAGACAATCGATCGGTGAGACGTCATCGGGCTCGGCTGAAACAAGTCTGGAGCTGTTCGAACAAAAGACAAGCTCCGCAACGACTTCCGCAGCGACCTCCGCAACGGAACCGACTCCGGGTTCGTCGAAGGAAGAACAGTTCGGCACATTGAAATCCGTTGTAATGAAGTACAGTAATCAACGCGAGCTCCCTGGTTCCCCCGGCAAAACATCCGAGACGACCATTCAGATTCAAACATCCTTGCTGGGCGAGCATGCATCGTACGAGGAGCTGTCCCTTATCGGGAACGGCGCTTACGGCACAGTGTACAAAGCGAAAGACAAGGCTAGCGGTCAAATTGTAGCGCTTAAGAAAGTCAGGGTGCCTCTGACGGAAGACGGTCTGCCTATGTCCACGCTGAGAGAAATCGCTACTCTGAAGCAGCTCGAACGATTTGAACACCCGCACATCGTGAGTCCTATTTCCAATAATCTTGTTAATCCTCCGTTAGTCGCTAGATTTTTCATCCGTAAACGGGTTGCGATGTATCTCACAGATACACCGATCTTCCCATTATTTCCCTCGGCTCGTTGAAATCATCTCTCCTTCATTAGCACCTGGCTGATAGATCGGGCACTAAAGTATCGAAAGAAACAGTGAGAAATAAATTAACAACTACTAGAGTTAATATAAAGCGACTCTGTGTGAACCGAGTGACTGATATTTAGCTTTCTTCTTCTAGGTCAGGTTGTTGGATGTTTGTCAAGGAAGTTACCTTGACTTACCCTCCGGCGAACGGTCCGGAAGGTTGGATCGTGGCCTCACCCTGTGGCTGGTGTTCGAACATGTGGAGAGAGATCTTGCTTCTTACATAACTAACTGTCCGCAGACAGGTATCCCTCCGTATCTCGTCAGGCAAATGTCAAAGGAGATACTTTGTGGAGTAGAGTTCCTACATAGCCATAGAATAATACATAGGGATTTAAAGCCTCAGAATCTTCTGGTGACGCGGGATGGAAGAATCAAGATCGCAGATTTCGGTCTGGCTAAGACTTATGACTTCGAGATGAAACTAACCTCTGTCGTATGTATGAGTATTTCATATGAAGATGATGTATCAGCAACGGCTCTCGCGTGGCCTATCAATTACCCAGATAAAGCTCTATGATGTTCCATTACACACCTAGGTCGTAACTCAGTGGTATCGAGCACCTGAAGTACTCTTGGGATGTTCCTATGCTACACCCGTAGATATTTGGTCTGTCGGATGTATCATGGCGGAACTTTACAAATTGGAGCCATTATTCCCGGGTACCAGCGAGGGAGATCAATTGGACAGGATCTTTAAGTGAGTTGACTAACTCTTTTTTTTTTTTTCATATTGAAAGCCGTATCATATGATTTTTTAACATTGACTCTCTCTTTCTCTCTCTCTCTTCTTTGCAGAGTTGTAGGTACTCCATCGCAGCAAGCATGGCCAGAAAACGTATCAGTCAGTTGGACAGCTTTCCCTCACAGGCCACCTATACCTCTTGGTGCAATAATACCAGATCTAGATGAACATGGACTAGATCTATTAAAGAGTATGCTCATGTTTGATCCTCATAGTCGTATAACCGCAGCTCAAGCTGTAAGACACCGATACTTTTCTGAAGATGACGCGTGATGACTCTTCTGTAAGTTATCTATTTACCGCTAGGTAACCTAGCAAACATTCAGACTGACATAATTGTATTTTGAAATAGGAATATATATATATATATATATATATACATATATATATATATATATATATGACATATATATATATGACATTTAAGCACAATAATAGTCTGTAAAACAAAGTTCTAAGTACAGCATTATACATGTATACTAGGAACATGTCAGAATTTTTACTCTCTAATTCGAGTATTAAGATTCACTTATGCTTGCAAACTTGAGTTTAGATTCGGATTTAGATTCAATTGACTGTTAAAATCAGTGGCTAAATTTGTTGTGTCGAAATTAAATATGTTTTCGTAGTTTACTATACACGTACGCCCGCACTATTTTTACATTGTTGGTCCTGTAGAGCAAATTTGTTAACATTAAATCGTAATAATCGTAAATAATTCTGCGAAACAAACCTGTAATATTTAAGTTAACTTATCCTATACTTTAATGTATAATGCAACAACAAAACAATTATTATTATTTTTGATATGNATCTTTTATTTCATATCAGTGGTCATATGTGCACGGCATTTATATTAATTAGTTTTTAATAGTTAAGTGAAATATATGCTGCGACAAATAATAATTACAACAAATCTTAGAGATCAGGAAGCGAACATGTATAACTTAGATTTAATTTAACGATTAAATTAATAATATAAGTATATCCGTAAGTAGAATTATATTTTTCTAAGACTGGGGCCTATGTGTGACCCATTAGGACCGGAAAGATTTAGGATCTTCCAGAAAAAACCAGAAAATACACTGCCATATGTATGTACCATAAGCCATTGCAATCACTATTGTATTTTTATTACTGTACTGTATATTGACAACATGTGTATAGAGCACAATAAGTGACACAATATTTATATGCATATTAACCACGTATTATTATATTAAGATGTAGAAGATAGATAAACACATTGTATTAATATATGTATACAAATATCTATAAGACTGTATTACGAAATAAAAATTTTATAGTTTTATATGTAGAGAAATCCGTGTGTGTCATACAAATTTAAATCTATCTTCCCGATATATTACCCATCAAGACATTTATAAGCGTTTCTTCAACAAGTTCACTTTTAAATAAAATTATTTTAATAAACCAATTACTTAATTCTGATGAGTAACTTGCAAACTTGAGTATTTTGAATTCTTAATCATTTAATCTGCGAATTTTACGTGTGCTTCCCACATCTAAAATAAAATAGATATACTTATTTATTCAGATTTCATACGATTTTTTTACTTTATTCGTGTACATGAAAAGTTAAAAACTGTTTAAATAACTGGTTACTTATAATATCAAGATTTTGACGCCTGGTGTATATCAGCCTTAACATTGTGACTAAAGTTATTCGTACGATTTTCAACCTTATGTATCACGTCTACATATAGACGTAAGGTCGAAAATCGTATGAAACTATAGTAAGAATAAAGCATGTGACGTTCGGTCACTTTGGCCGGGCTATAACAACTGATAATGGTTGCGTAAATGAAATATGGGCTTGCGGTAACAGTGATAAGCATGAAGTTATTAGCAAATTTTACCATAAATACCTGCAGACATATAGGATACCGTGGTGTCATTTCGCCGGCCTATTTTTGCTCGAGAAAAATGGCGTCTGAAGTGGAGAAAGCGCAATCCGCTGCTCCGGGTGGCGACACGATATTCGGGAAAATACTACGTAAAGAAATCCCATGCAAGTTTATTTACGAAGACGACCAGGTAAACTATCTAATATAATTTATCATATCGAATTATGTGGAACTCTGTGACAGATTTATGATTGATATGACTGGCACCTTACTATTCCTCTGTACATGACATTGTTATCATAAACTCTTATCTGTAATTATTATATAATCGTGTGTTCTATTCAGCTGAGTCATTATCATACATTGTTTCTCGATCAATGTAAGAATGAAACACGATTATGTTACAATCACTTCAATGTCACTAATATATCTGTGTAACTATTATATCTATGTTTCACAGTGTGTTGCATTTAACGATGTAAATCCTCAAGCACCTGTGCATTTCCTGGTGATTCCAAGAAAACCGATCGAGCAATTATCCAAGTCTGCTGATGAGGACGAAAACCTACTCGGTCACTTGATGATCGTTGCTCGCAAGGTTGCAAGGCAAGAAGGCTTGAAGAATGGATTTCGTTTAGTTATCAACGACGGAAAGCATGGCGCACAATCTGTGTTCCATCTGCATTTACACGTTCTCGGTGGTCGGCAGATGCAGTGGCCACCTGGTTAATGTAGTATTGCGTTGGTGTGGTTAAATATACAAACGTGACTTCAGTTACCAATTACCTTACTATTAATCAAATTTGACGGAATAAAATATTAAAGACATATACGTTGCACATTATTAAATATCAACGGTTACACACGATTGATAAAATCTGTAAAGCGTTTGTGTTACTTTTATCAGGTCAGGAATGTTCTGTCGTGTAAAAGTTTGTTGAGTATTGTTTTATTAAAAAAAACTTATTTTCCATAAATGAATCCTGTGTTCGCATGTAATTTATGCGGCTGGAGTGTATAAGTCATGTGATGTAATTGTCGTTATTTCTTCTTATACACTTCATATACGAATTCGATTCCTTTTTCCTCTTGTATACCTTGCGGTACCACTGGATCTCTGTAATTGGATATAATTAGTAGAAAAGCATTGCAAAAGTTGGGCAGAGGATTACGATTACTTACTGTACCAGCACAAAGTTATTTGGAATAGGTGGAAAGAATGTGTCGCATTCAAAGCTTTTCCTTATACGTGTGAGATACAGTCTTCCAAAATGTGGGGATTCGATGGTTTCCTGGTGTGGAATTTAAATAATTATTTCCTTCATTCAAATTTATGTATCAAGATATTTATAACAATAACTCGTCGACACATTACTGCATGTACATAATTTATGTAAGATACCTTGTATACTTTACTTCCGCCTATCACCCATATTCTTTCCACTTTATTTTGCATTCCTGCGATTATTTCGAGAGCATTCGATATACTTGAGCACACTATCGCCTTATCTCCGTAATTCCTAAAATTAGCGTAATATCCGTAACATATTTTTGAGAGCATTTCATTTTCATCGTATTCATTAATTCATTTATAATTATATCTATAATTATAATTTATAATTACATCAACTGCGACGTTAACACCATATTTATGCGGTTTTTCAGAGGCCGGTACTTTTCAGGCATACAATCCCAAGTGCGCCGACCCATAAGTACGACATTCTTTTTATTTTCATCTTTTGTCACCGTTGTCATGCGTGTAAAATATGCCATTTCGGTTCTACGAATTAATTAGCTTTATTTGCAGATAAATTATTTCTAAAGTTTCTATATATATATAGAATATAGCGACCTCTGAATCGCGCGCGAACAATTATTAGAAAACTTACTTTAAACGCCACGGTAAATCACCGTTTATTCCAATGCCCATATTTTCAGATACCGCGGCTATCAGTTCGAATTTCAGTGACATAGTGACATGTGAACTAAACCGAAAGGATCGAATCCTAAATCATACGACGATATAAACATTAGTTCATCGATTGGGAAATTATAGTTATTAACATAGAACTTGACATCAAACTTAATGGAAAGTTGAAGGCTACTTCGATACTAATTTTTCGTCTAATCAGGATTCTATATTTTTTTACTTGTAAATACTATATTTCTTACTATATTTCTTTACTTGTTGTTTTTTACTTACATGATTATTGTACATTATTGTACATGATTCTATATTCTTTACTTGTACATGATTATTAAACGGCAAAATTGATGATTTATATCAGTTGCACGAATAAGAAATGAAGAAATGAAGTGTTGTGTTAACGTTTATTATTACGACATTGTGTATTAAATTTCTCCATATTTCACGATATAAGACTGAAGACAATATTAGCTCACTCGATCTGCTTCGTTACTGCTGTCAGAGAGAAGCTTGAAAATGTCCACACCGTAACGGCCTGTCCGGCAAACTGATAGCTGCGTTCGGGGAGCGCGTTATCAGCTATTGTGTCTATCCTTGTTCATTAGACGTAAAACAAGGATGGAAGGACATAATAACGCTGATAGCGTGCTGCCGGAACGCATCCGTAGACACGATCTTTCATTTTCCGATCAACTTGTGGTTTAAAACCGATGATGTAAAAATTGTGTCTTTCTACTCACGGTTAATCATTAAACCGATGGTTTTGTCTAATGATAATTTTTAAAATCTAATGATTAATCATAAATAGAGGAACTATTATTTTTACGTTATCATCAGGTTAAGTTTAAAGTCAGCAGCACACGATGCTTGTTTTCGTGCTAGATTGCTCGCTGGATAGAAATATTGCGTTCTGATTGGTGCATTTCCAAAAATGGATGACAATACACCAATCAAAACGCAGTATTCCCATTCAGCAAACAATCCAGCACGAAACAAGCATACCGCTGACTTTAAAGGATTATATGTATGCCCGTATTCCTACTTTCTACCACGTGACCCGTTTAGTTCGGTCACATTTGGCTTCAAGATAGGGGGCGCTGAAGTTCGTCGCCTATTTTCCAAGAGGGCAGTTCGGCCTCGCTGAGCTGCTCAAAGTGTACACAGGTTCTATAAAGTTTACATGGGATTTTAATGAAATTTATATTATTCTTCTTGTGAAATTAATTCTAAATATATTCTATATAGTTTACAGAAAAGTCTGGAAAATGGTTGAATTTGCGGAGAAACGTTACGAGGATACGCTTCCTGAGCTGGAGCAAATGGAAAGGATCAAACTCTTTGAGAAAAATGAGATTCGGTAAGTCAAAACAAATGATACAGCGATAGATTTACATTAAGCATCGCACTAATCAACCGTCTAATATATCTCAGGGCTATTGCCAAGAAGCTGAAGGAGTTTGAGTGCAAAATTCAGCGTCACACAAAGTGCAAGGAGGACTATGTGGAATACATACATTATGAAATGGATCTTTTGAAATTGATCAAACAACGAAGAGATGTGAGTAATTCAGGTATTCTGAGCGTAAAAATTAAATTCAAGAAAATTACAAAATGACAGTCGCATGTACCGTGGTATATCAATACATTATTTTTTTTTCAGAAATACGGCATTACCCAAAAAAAGTCAGACATTGATTTTGCTATAGCGAATAGAATGAACAATTTATATAAAGACGCGATATTCAAGTTTCAAGATATCAGATTTTGGATCGCCTACATAAAGTTTTGCAAGCATGTAGTAAGTAACGAGACAAGTAGATTTCTGCTGTTTCACAGCGTATGTGTGTGTTTACATAATGTAACATAGGTCTCTTAGCATTTTCACAGCAATATCAGTCACTTGATCAGCAGAATGTTGCAAGTGCACAGGGACGAGCCGAAATGCTGGCAAGTAGCGGCGTGTTGGGAGTTGGACGAGAACAACAACAAGCAGAATGCTCGGCAGTTCCTCCTCAGGGGTTTACACATTCATCCGGATTCACAATTGTTGTACATTGAAGCTTTCAGGTAACAATAGCAAGAACATCTCCCTTAATGGTCTATTTTGCGACTTCTCAATATCATCCTTCGTAACCGCATCTATTTACTTCGTGTAGACTCGAGTTGAACGATCACGTATCCGCGTCTAACAACGCTGAGAATGCTGAGAACCAGGAGGACAATTCAGCGTCGACGGTGGACGACAACGAGATGCCGTTGCCGCTGAGGAGGGCGTACGTGATATATCAGCAGGCTGTCGAACGCGTCAATGACATCAAATTCATAATCAAGCTGCTCGCCATTACCGAAGAATATGACAACACGGAGAAATTGCAGAAGAAGATTATTAGGTATAAATATAGTGACGTTATAAACATCAAGTATTTATACTAAACATAATAGTAAGTATAACTTTTCTCTTTAGTAAATAAAACGTGCGTTGGTGTCGAGAGTACATCCCGATGAATTTATAATTACAGCGATATGATTCGGGAATACGCCCACGAAGCTTTAATGTGGGACAAGATGGCGGATCGCGAGTTGCAAGGCCTGGTCCAGCCTGGTCTCACCGACACGCCGATGGAGCTGGACAATTCCGAGCAAGCCTCACTCAGGGATCGCATCACCGCCTGTAACAAGGTCTATCAAACGGCCGTGAAGAAAATTAAGACCGAGGAGATGTGGTCGCTCTACATAAAACGCTTACTGGACATCAATAAGGATCTACAGTCGTTGCCTAATTTCAAGAGGAAACTGCTGAGGACCGCCTTGGCACAGGCTCATCAGGCGAAGAAGCTGAAGGAAGAATATTATTCGGACTGGGTTTGTTACTCAACATCCGCAGAACCGCCGTTCGCAATCGCGTGCAACGAAATAACCGGGTTTACCTCGCAGATCAAAATGCTGAGCGCCGAGACAGGCGACGAGAACGCGCAGAAGAGGCTGAATCAAGTTCTATGCGGAGCGACTGATGCGGTGCCGAACAGCGTGAATCTTTGGCAAGAGCGAGTGAGGCATCTGTTGCTCTCCGGGCAGGAGGAAGAAGCGGCCGCGATATATCCGAAGGTGAGTAGCTCGCAATATTAATTGACACTCGATCACCGGAGAACGGGAAAACCATGGATTGTTACAGGTGACGGAGATATTAGGGGAGAAAGCGTTGCCTCTGTGGAGAATGCGGATTCTGCATGTGCAAACGAAAAACTCGGAGAAAACCGAAGAGGCATTCCAAGCGGCTTTACAGGCGCATCCCCTCATCGCCAGAGATATCAAGTCCACTTATATCGAGTGGCTCGTCTTGACGAAAAGTAATCAAATTCAAATACACATATGTATATATGCTGAATATATCCTTATCATTCGATCACTTTTCACGTTCGGGAGTTCGAATATCGCACATCTATGTTTCTTAATCTATGGATGATCCGATCCATCGGATTCCGATTAATCAGCGATTTAAGATCGCCACCAATCGAGGAATTATCTGTCTCATTAAACGCAGATAAAAATTATCAGCCCTTCGATTATTGATTATATCGTTAGATTATTTCCGATTATTATCGGAACGGCAGAACCAGAAATTAACGTTAGTAGTTCTTATTATCGCTCGTTAGTCATTATTATTCCCTCATTGCGACACGTTGTTAGGGTGGCTTTCACTGAACGGTCAGATTAATCTGACATTATTAACACTACCCTAACATGTTAATTCTATTCCAGGCATCCGTGCGGCTCGCAAGGCGTACGACGGCCTGTGCATGCAGCCGCCGTTCTCGCTGAGATTTCACAGAAAGATGGCGTCGCTCGAGGTCATGCAGCCGGACGTCTCGGTGAGGCACGCGCGGCGACCTCACGAATTGGCGACCCACCAGTTCGGCAGCACCGACACGTCCGTCTGGATAGACCACATCAAGTTCGAGACGAAGTACGGCGACGCGAAGAAAATCGGCGAGATACACGCGAGGGCGCTGAAGAACCTGGAACGCAGTCTGACGTACTCCTTCATCACGGATTACGCCCTGATCACGTCCAAACCCGATTCCATGAACAGTTAATTGGGAACCGTGTCGTATATGGCGAGCACCGTACGCTCGCACGCATATCATAAGGCCGCTGCTCGTGATGAGAAATTATCTCGTTGCAACCATAAAAAGCAACGAGCAAATTGACCAACCACAATCGACCATTTTCCTTAGTCCGGATCTACAGTAGGTGTAACGAGCGATTTGCTCCGAACAAACTATTAAACTTCGAGCGAAAAGCGTCTCCATCCATCATCGGAAGTCGCGATTCCCAAGTTTTAAGGATTATTACCAATTTTCGCGGCGCGGGAAGTGACTTTTGTCAGAAATTACGTTATATCTTATTGCTTAGAGCGAAAGGCTAAAAGCTTGCTCGAATCTATTAGAGAGATCCGGACTTACCGGTTCGAGAATAATCGATTGTAGTTGATCAATTGGCCTTCTGCTTTGCAGTTATTGCAATGTCTTCACGTGCGACGATCCGTAGGGAGGACGGAAACTCGCTGAACGTCACTTTGGCTTTGAAACTTGAGATTATGTACCGCAATGCGACGTGACATAACGAAATAACACGAACGATCGGCTGCACGTGGACAACAATCAAAACGTGACGACGATCTTCGCGATTGTATATCATCTCGGATAAGCCCGGGTATATAATTGCGGTGCGGTAAGCCTTCTGTTCTAAGGAATGAAACGTTATTTCTGACAAAAGGCGTTTCCCGCACCGCCGAGAATCACTATTAGTGCTTGCCATTCGATGACACAAATCGACACGAGCATCATCCTATCTTTGTTATTCATCGAATGCCTAACGAAGACAGAATGATGTGGAAACGCTTCCTGCCAGAAATTCCGTTTTACAATTCGGTACTCCGAGCGAAAAAGGCTGAAGACTTGCCACACCGATCGTAGATTCGGCCCAAAAAGTGTCATCTACAATGGGCGGTAGGAGTATGTTTATACGAAGGAAGAGTAAAAAATTAACTAATCACAGTCGGTTATTCTCTTAACACTCGAACATGATTGGTCAGTTTCTAATTCTTCTTATGAACATACTCCTACTGTTCATTGTAGACCACGCTTAAGGGCCATGTCACACACAAGAACATAGACGGTGAGAAAATGAACGGATCGCAGTGGATTATTCTCCTTACGGTCAAAAGGACAATCGACTGTGACCGGTCAATTTGCTCAGGTCTTACCGCTTGCGTTTTTCTGTGCTCCGCAACGCCCTAACACGAGGCCGTGCGCTGGACTTGAGACTCCAGCGGAATCTCCTGCTCCATGCGCGTTAACACGATATTGCGATCGGTCTCGTTGGGCAAGCGCGCCCTGTCGCCTGTCTTCAGTATTGCTCTCGAGTCTAAGCACATGACGTCGATGTTCATGGAGTGCTGCTTATCGTCCAGCTCGTGGTCGATACGCGTGAGCAAGGACTCCAAACCGTTGTGGCTCGTTCTGAAAACGAATCCTCACCGGGTCAAGCAGTGATAAGACGCGAGCCGACGAACGATCGGTTACCGAAATTACTACGTACTTTGCGTTCTCGACAGCACCGATCAAATTCTCCTTGGTCTGTCTCAGTTGTTGAATCTCGCCCCGCAAGCCCGTCTCGACCTCGTCCGCGCAGTGCTCGTGTCCGGGCCGATAAGTGCGATTTTCCAAACGCGTCTCCGCGCACTTGGTCACGTCCATTTTCTTCGCCAACGCCTCTTCCAACCGACTTATCTCCTTCATCAACGCCTCCATTTCATTCTGCACCTGTTCCAGACCGAGAAACATAAGTATAAGAAAGAGAGAGAGAGAGTGTCTTTTTCCTGTTATATTTAATCTCGTTGAGTCTCTTCCCTTCTCTTCTATTACATATTTAACGCTTGTTCTCGATTATAGCTTTATACTTTAATACGCTGTTTCTTATCCCCTCTTGATCGGAATATATTCCGAATAAAAGCGTAAATACGATCGATCTGGCGCGCGAGCACCTTGAGCTTCTGCCAGTCCAGCTCGTTCCTGGCCTTTTGCGTGTGATAGATCCTCTTTCTCAAGGTGTAATCCGTCGCATCTTGCTGAGCCCTGATGTCGTTCCACGCGTGTTCCCGCATCGCGCGCGTAGCCTCGCGAAAACTGCGAGAGTCGCCCATCTTGTCTCTAATCGACGTTTTCACGCGGTGACATCGGTCCAGCCACATCGCATACGTGATCGAACTGTCGAAACGGGGAGAAGACAAGTTAGAACTGTTCACAGCTCCGGAACGTGCTCACGGAACTCGGACTTTACCGCGTTTTCTCGCCAATTGGCAGTGTCGGTTTGTAACTTATGTTGGAACCAGCGCGGTCCAACGCGAGATTCTCCCCGTCTATCTGGATGGCCTCATTCTTGTCCTGCACATCCACGCTCAGGTCGAACCGGAGGTTCTCCAAATGATTCAACTTCTCCCACGCAGTCTGCGCTCTGTGACATGAAGAAAGCTCGGGACAGGTTCCTCTTTTCATTCGTTTCCATCATCATGACAAATCTAATCGACGACTAACTCAACAGAATTGACCAATCACATTCGAATTAGCTGAACCGATCAATGCGATTGGTCAATTCCGTCGAATTACTCGTTTTTTGTTAAGTAAAACAAAAATATTTACAAACCACATTAGAGTTTGTAGGAAGCATGAGTGCAGAAACCATCACTGAATGGATTTTCTGACTCAAATAAATGACTAATTAACAGAATTAATTACTTGATAATCTTTCAGATTAGTTGTAACAATAAGACTCTTAGCAGTTAATAGGGAAAAAAATGGTAAAAGGAGTAACATAGTTCAGGAACAGAAAACAGACCAAAAGTCTGATGAGTCCAGTCCAAAAAATCATCCTTAGCCTTAGCCTCACCTCTTGATAAACGCGTCTTGAATGTTTGCGACCACGCAGAGCTCCTTCTTCAGCTGGATATCGGCCTCGTCGTACGTGAGTTCGGTTCTCCTACGACGGTCCCTCATCGAGATGCATTCACTGACCACTTGCAGAAGATAATTCATATTCTCAATTTCTCTCTCCACGTTGCTCTTCTCGTTGCTCAGCGAACGTATTTCGAGTAACAACTGTCGCATCAAGTCCTCGAGATCATTTCTCCATCTCGACAGTTCCGTGACTCTGCAAGAAAAGAAGGAAGATGTTCATGATAAATATTCAGATGATGCCACACTTTATTGGATCTTTTCACACGCTTTGTGAGAAATATTGTAGGGAAGATAGTTGAAAGTGATGTCCAGTAAGAAGCAGACGGAAGACGGTATCGGTTGTGTATGTGTCAAAACATTACAGAATGAAATTAAACCCTTTTTTTTACGTTTCCTCGCCTAGATATCATAGAGTAGGATAAAATAGAATCTGTTTCGCTATGTTTCAGGATAAATCCTGTACAAGCAACAGATGGTGCAATATTGTATAAATAGACAATCACCATTAGAAAAAGAAGAAAGGGAAAGAAAGAGTTTAAAAAGAAACGGGGATCAGATGAAAGTAAAGAAAAAAGGTAATGTAAACAAGCATACCGCATAGCAGCCATATTAATCTGTTGCTGGTCTTCTGAGCCATCGGACCAAGCTTTTGTTTGCATTTTTTAGAGAATGGCAAAAACATTTTACTCGTTGCTGAAAGCTTTCGTCTTACCAAATGAATGAATCTACTAAAAAGACTTTGCGTAAGGATCGACAAAGATTCCTACTGCAAAAAATTGGTAAAATGTGACTTTCCCTCTCTCTCTCTCTCTCTCTCTCTCTGAATATTTAACAAATTAAATATAGTTCTGCTCATGCAAGAAGAACGAGATTAAGTTCTACTGCAATCAGCGCAAATAGTTATTATTCCTGCATTTTTTTTTTTCCATTTTATTCGCCTTCAATGGTCGCACTGATACCCGGAAAATGTGAAGATTCTCCGTTTTCCGACATTCGAAAGACGTCTGATTTTTTAGACACGCATGTTGTACGGATACCTGTCCGCCAGTCGATCGTTGTTTATGTCAGCGTCCCATTTGGTCCTCGCGTCCGTCTCGAGGCGCACAGATCTGCTGAAGTCGCGCAGTCGACAGGCCTCGGATCTCCGGGTGTCCGAGGATTGTCGAAGCTCCCATTGCTTAGCGTGCCAATCGGGCAGACTGATGTGAGGCGAGGGCTTCTCGTAGGTACTCACGAATTTGGCCATGCTGAGGAGAATTCGACTAGAAAAGAAATTTAGAATCGACGGGTGCCGTAAAGGGGTGGTCGATCGTCGGGGATCACGGCGTTGTCAGGACAACGAGAAACAGCGGGTCCCGCGTAATTGGTACCGGCCGATCCCGCAGATGTCGATTAAGGCCGAGTGAAGTTTTTCGTAAGAGAAACCCCGGGGAAATGTTCTACCTTTATGATTTGAAAAAAACCAAAGAACGTTCGTTTCGCGCGTAAACGCCAAGTGTGACAAACGTGAATCACGATGGCGCGAACTACGTGATCGTTTCCGAGGATCCTCTCAAGGTAGGAAGAAGAAGACGGGGCAGGCGAGGGGAATTGAAATTGATTCTCATTATCGGAACGTCGTAATTCACGTGATGAATTTCAAGCATCATCGATGGTTAAAACGTCGACCGTAAAATAGACTCAACGGTAAATTCGGACCGCCTATTACTTCCGGCGTCCTATTGCTACGAGTCATCAAGATGTCCGATGTCAATGACCTCGAGTAGCCGTAAGAAGCTCCACGCTTTAGCTCGACTCCATGGAGGCTGTTACGGTAAAGATACTTGAAAGTCGGATGTTTCTCGCGCGAAATCCGAATTACGAAGCTCGTGAGCGATTTTCGACGTGGCTTCTCGAGTTTGGAAACTCCTATTGGAAAGACCCGTTCCCAGCATCATTTAAAACTTTTACCTTCGAGAGACGCCGATAGAAACGGTTATAAGGAGAACGGGCGATGAAAAGCAGCGATAAATCGGTGAAAACGATTCATTCGATCGATAAACGTGCCGCGAGTTTGCGGATTTCGGGATCGCGGATGAATTTTCGATTTGGTGGTATGGGTAAAGGCTAGTTTCGATCGGGATGCCCCGTGTTCGCGCCGTTATCGTAAAATCTCCCGCCCTTCAACGGTGATTTCTTAGGTGGCGCTGGAGTCTGGACAAATTTTCAACGAGTAAGAATTCCAAGGGGACTGTGATATTTTGCTCGCAGACATTGTGGACAGCGTATCGAAACGGAGTTGCGCGACTACGTATCGAAGGGCGTCGTATTATGCGTCGATTCAACATGCGGAACAAGCGTGGAAAGTCGGGGACGATGAGCGGCGGTAGCGACTCGGAGGAAAATGGCGGCCTCGTCGGTAACGACAAAGAAGCGACGCAGAAGCCCGCCGCCGGTAGGAACAACTACAACGCTGCGTCCAAGACGGCTGCGAGCACCATCATCATGCGAAAATCGACTCTGAAGAGGCGCTCGCGCAGCTCAGCGCAACAGAAACAGCCGGTGGCGGCGGACAACGACGCCGCCGAGGTGAGAGACGACTCGTCGACCGCGGGAAAACTGGAGGAACGGGAGAACGGCGAGAAGATCGCGGGGAAGCCATCCCCGAACAAGCGCAAGAAGAAGGACCAGAGAGCGTCCACCTCGGCGCGCGATAGCGAAGACAACGATGAGTACGAGGTACGGTGAATTGCTCATATGCACCGATATTCCTCGTCCATCTCGGTGTGAATTCCCCATCTCGCCTGTGAGACGCGCCTTTTCGGCCGTCGCTTCGCGTAGACTTGCGCGGGCACGCAAAACGATGTACCGCCATTGCTGCCGCGCGCGCGGGAGATCGGTTCGACGATATTGCCGCGCTCCCGTCTCTCTCTCTTTCTCTCTTTCCTCCCCCTCGCCCTCCTCCCTCGCTAGTGACGTGTATTCTCGCGCGTTATGCGGCATATGCGACCGGCATCGTTCTGTGCCGCTGATTTACGCCGCGATTAGGAGTGCAGCCCCGACGCTCTCGTTATTTACTCTGCGCGAAAACACGCTGCCGATCATTACGGCTCGTGCGCCGTCACCGTTCAGCGCGCACGCTGTGCCTTCTTTATTGTTCGGGACTCCCTTTTCTATCGATAATAATGCTCCGAGAGGGTTATCAGACAATCAGGTTTGCGCTTTTGTCAAAAATCAGAATTTGGAATGCGGCACTCACGCCTTTATCCCGCTTTTTCTCTCTCTCTCTCTCTATCCCCCCGCCCCGGGCTCTTCCCTCCAACGGTGTGAACGTTGCTGCGCGGGAAGGAGTGTAAACTGCGTTCCAAGTTCAGAGCAACAGTAGGAATCATTGAAGCTTCTCGCTTGTACTATCGATATCGAGAAAAGTGAGAGTATTAAAATCAACGGAGTCACGTTAGCGAGCGATCGTTCGCCCGGATAAATTATTATTTTCGTTAAATTAGATTTGATACGTTGTTTTTATTAACTGTGATTAAAGTAAAAGTTAATGATGCTACAAACTGGTCCAGTTCTCAGACCGGAACTTTCAATGCCCGTCAAATTCGGTAAGCAGTTTGCATCAGAGGCAAAGTAGCAGCGAGGAAGATGGATGTTTTGTGTAAAGCTTGTTCAACTTTCGCTCGTGGAATATAATGAATAAATCATCTGATGCTGAGAATTTATCTTCGGAAAATTAACGCAGCGGTCAGTTGAAAAGAGAATGGATATTGAGATACTTTTGTCCCATCAATTAAACTTACCGTAAATGATTAATCATTAATTATTCGTGCATTTGTTACATTTTTTGGCAAGATATATAAAAAAGAAAATGCAAGAAAAATATAAAAGTGGTATTTATGGATGGTTGAAAGACCTGAAGAAAATTTTTGCAATGTGAAGTTTTCTTTTTATCGTCTACCATCCACCAAAATGTTCGTCTCTTTTAATAAATTTATTACCGTCGAAGTTTCGTCATATGATCACAAATATCAGGTTTGTTTCTACTCCGACGACTAACAAGCGACAATTATTACGAATAAAGAAGATCAGAGGTTGATGCAAACCTTTTTCTGACGTTTTAAACCGATTAGAATTTGTATCAAATCATTGCTACTTCGATGAGGCTTGTGAAACGTGTGAAGCAGGAGTAGAATGAGCGTCCTCAGTCGCGTCTCCGTCGACTTAAATTTGGTTCTACACTGCGTTCTAGGCGCTAATTAAGACTTGGATAGAAACCGCTGTAAACGTGGTATTAACTTGGGACGTGATAAAAAATGCTACTTTCTTTTCCCTCCTGTTAAATATACCACGTGATATACATGGATCCTCTTTTCAGGTGGACGTGATCGTCGGTCATCGCACTATCAAGGGTCGTCGACAATTTTTGGTACGATGGAAGGGTTACAGTAGTGTATCGGACTCTTGGGAGAATGAAAAGGACCTCAACTGTCCTCAATTGATAGAGGACTTTCTGGCGATGGAGAAGGAGGACAGTAAACAAGTAAAAGTGACGAAAGCAAAAACACCCAAAGCTGACAAATCTAAGAAAACTAGAGGTAGTTCCGCAAAACAGACAGAAAACGGCAAGTTCCATTTGGCGAAGCTTTATCTGCATAATAATACATGTTACCTGTGTATTCTCATGTAAATGATCTTCCAGATGAGCCGAGTGTTAAAGACGATGTTAAAGATAAGGAGAGCTTGAAGGAGTTCGAGGTCGAGAGAATAATCGAGGTGCACTTCAAGAAGAACGGGAAGAGAGAATTCTTGATCAGATGGAAAGGGTTCAGTGCAACAGACGACACCTGGGAGCCGGAAGAGAATCTTAATTGTCCGGATTTAATCTCCAAGTTTATGCAAAAGCTGGAGAAAATGAAAACCGCGGATCTTCGGGAACTCAGGACGAATCGGGCGCACACTAAACGGTACACCTTGTCGACACATGACTCCGGGAGGAGGTTATCTCGACGCCACATGGACAAGCAAAGGTACTTTGCTGTACACTTGCTTCGTCTTGGAATCGCTCAAAATTCACACAGCTTAGAAATTGCGGCTTTAGCCCAGGCGTACGTTGAGACGCAGACGGCGCAGGGCAGCGTCGTAGATTTTGTCGTATGATATTTTTGTATCTTATTCTCCATTCCTTTTTATGTTTTATACTACAGATTATTCTTAATGATCTGTATTCAATTCCTTGTTCCTTTGATCGCATCTGAGTTCTGTTAGATACGGATATTAGCGCCGCCTGTGTCGCAATGTGCGCCTCAGACAACGCGAGAAACGTTTTCGCATTTAATTAAAATTAAGCTAGTGACTTAAAAAACGTGAGATTTGAAGCTTACTACCTGTTGTAAATCCGACCTTAGGCACGTTCGAAACTTTCTTCAGACGCCTATATAGACGTTGTTTGCGCTCTAAAAGTGAAATGCAGGAACGTTGAGATAAACGCATGCTGAGTGTACGCTCAAGTATCGACTGATGAAATCGACCAACCTGGACCGATAAAACTAATTTATAATATAATGCACATTTTACGATTACATTGCTACATCGATCTGTATTTCTTGCAGGGCAACCTACCACGAGTGCGATGAGTGAATATCATCGTGGTCCCAGTATCTTTATTCTATTCAAAGAATTTACTTTATACGTATAGTCTGTAGTTTTACAAGAGAGAAAAAAAAAGGGAAGATGTAAGGAGTTTTAAGGATGAAACAAAAAAAAAAGAATATATCAAAATGCGAATAATTTGCAATATACGGTACTAGGAACTATGAATATATGGTGTGTGTACGCTCCGTTTGTGAAGAGCGACGTGTCTGTGAATGAGAAAAAGATGATTGATCTATATATATATATATATACACACACACACGCACTTTGCTGTCTGCTTTAGATATTTCTGTTCGAAGAAAAGTGGTATCATTGCGCATACACTTTTTAAAAACAATACCATGCCCGTGGGAGAAAAGAGAGAGAGAGAGAGAGGGAAAAATGCGAAATGCAATTCTATTATTTCTGTAAGATACATTACAGTAATCGAAAGGAACGATTTCCAGAACCGTACTTACCCCTTTTTCGGTCAAGTACAGGAGAGAATTTTTAGACGCGGGTATTACCACACAACAAGAATGAGTTTTATTGTATTTGTATACAATCAGTAACATGCGATCGTGTGTGACCAATGTAGCTTACATATTAATATATAACAATTTGGATTAGATCGATACTGTCTGACGTTGCTTGTTCTGTGTAATACTTTCAATATATGTTTATAGCAGTCTAGCGAATGCGTAGTATTATAGAAAAGTACGGTCCTGGTAACGTTTTTACTCACGCAAGGTAAAACATGCCGAATAACTTGATTTGTGAGATAATTATATAACATTTATCATTTCATGTGTGAACGATTAGAGTATTCGCCTATCAGGGAATAGACGAAATAAATACTTGAACTTTATGTGGAAATCAAGGAGTTCTCGTCGACCTCCTTAGTCCTTTCCACTCCCATCTTGACGAGGTCGAAACTGAAGGCGAATTTACGACAATGTGAGATGTATCTTTGAGGGGAAAAATGTTTCTGAAGCACTATCAAGATATGCACACACACACACACACACGCGAGTCTCAAATCGGGCGGAAGGTTTAAGAAAAAGCAAAAGTGGGAGAAAATATACATTGGGACCCGATGCTTATTTCTGCTCGAATATTTTTGATTGTTATATATTAATTATGTGACGTTAACTTTTCGTTTATAACGTAAGGAAAGTAGAGAAAATGCTTATTTAAGAATACAAATTTATTTATTCATTTCAAACACGTTCGCTCCTCTTTACCTCCTTAACTTGCAAACCTACAACACACAAATTTCAATGCTATCATAATTAATGCCGCGCATGTATAACACGGTCGCTACCATCGTTCATTTGGGAAACCACATATAAAGCACTCGTATTTTTTCCATCTTTTTTCACGTGACAATTTAAAACAAATTTGATTCATACGGACATTGGGTGAAAAATCATTGCTGTTACACGCGCGTGATTTGTGTCTTTTGCAAGAACCGGTACGTTGCATCAATGTGACGTACGATAGCGAACGCTGTGATAATATTTTTAATATTTTAAGATATCACATTTCAACCCTCGCAAGGAAAGATAAGGAGTTACTCATAACTCCCAGTACACAAGATGTTTATTTATATTTCTGAAAAATATATACTTATTCTAGGTGATTTTCGGTGCTCTTTTTTTGTTTTAATCAAATAGAATGCATATTCACATTGGGTTACTAATGAGCTCACTTTTCTGTTCACGTTCTACTATTTCACCTTTCCTTGTGAAGGTCAAATATTTGTATTTAAATATATTGCGAAAAAACAAAAGAACATCAATAAATACCACGATTGTATTCAATAGGAATGAATAATCCACGCATGAATACTCAAGATATAATGTTATTAAATATTAATATGATCAATATCAATATGACTGGAAAGATATCAAAGCTTGGACATGCATTAATGAAAGATAATCCGATGCATTCGTCAGTGTACGTTTAAGTTTCATATCTCCTATAGCCATGTTATGTTAACATTTTAATGGCCACTCACACAACATGTGTGTGATAGCCGGAACAACTGTTATTATCCGTTCACATAACGTGTGTAATGCTACCGCCGAAGAAAATATTGCCGGCCCCTGGCGACGTTTGACTGCGTAGACGTGCGGCCATTAAAGTGTTAATGCATTTGTATTAATATTTACTAGCGTTACATTATCCGTACTTTGACTCTGGAAAGTTCATTACTTCCAATTTAGTGAGCTCTTTTCGTCGCACTGCTAGTAGCTTGACAACTGTTGTACTTTAATATATATGTCAAAATTTTATATCATATTCAATCACATTAATATTTAACAACGTTAAGATATCCAGTTTTAACTCTTATAGGTCCATTACTCTTTCTGTAGTTTAACCAAGAACTATCTCATAATATTTACTAAACTGCTCTTTTTCTTTTTTTTTAATACAACCATCAGCAACAATTGAAATTCTTAATTAATTTTATTTTACCTGGTGGCAGGGACTGCTTCAGCTTTTCAGCTTTTTCCTTATCAGTGATTACCAGCGTATACAAGAACCGGGAACAGCGAACCTTAAATTTCACATTGTCGGCGTTCTTCTTAATTTTCACAGCTACGAACAAGCAAATCAATCAGATGTATACAAGGATATAAGAGCGGCATAACATTTCAATACATTTAGGTATCTTACATTTTGCATCTTTCCTTCTGGCTTTCAGGAGGAAATCCTTGATCTCCTTGATTTCACGTGGCTGAAAGAAAACCCATTAAAATAGCATTTTCCTGGAACAATACTAACTTAACTGTGATAGAGATACTTGAGGTTACGTTAATATAGATATAAATATTGCGAATGACGCATTTATATTATGTACAAGTTACATGCGATTTTTAAGTGTTCCTAGCAAGAATATAACGTGTTGTCAAGTCAAACTTTTAAAGTATACGCATATTTACCATATTTAATCGATGGTCAACTTGTTACTACAGCTGAACCTGGAACTCTCTGAAAAAAAAGATATAAATCATTGATAAAATGCGAAACGCATCGGACGTACAAATAAAGCGCGTTTTCCTCAACGAACGTGTAGTAGAATTCCAATAAGGTTGCGAGCGATGACGAGGAAACAAAATGGATACGAAATATGGTACAAGCAGAAAACTCACCGCAACGCGAGCAAGATGCCGGAAGAGAGAAGACGTGAACAGTCCTGCAAACACTGATCGGCGATTAGGTTAGGTTAAGCTAAAATCGAGATGGCCGATATGATATAAAGTCGGTGACACACGGTGCTTGTTTTCTCACTGATTGAAAATACTGCGTTCTGATTGGCGCACTTCCGAAAATGGATGGGGATACACCAATCAGAATGCTGTATTTTTATCCAGCAAGCAATCCAGGGAAAAACAACTGGAATAATACTAGACCAATCAACAATTTCTCATATGTGATTGGTTAATTATTTAAAGCTTAAAATATTTATTACAGATTGGGACTTGAACTCATAGCACACGATTGACAAAATATATTTTGTCTTGCTCTAACTTACCGCACCAGTTCAGCAGTGCAGCTAAAAGAAACAGACCAGATGCTTGTTTTGTGCTGAATCTAGTGATATCTAGTGACATACATACTTAATGCTGCGTTCTGATTAGCGCACTTCTGCTATTAGATCTCGATTCAACATCTTGAAAACAAGCACCGTGTGCCACGGACTTAATTTTTATATGATACACGTAAGGGTTACAGCGATCTGACGCGATAACGGACAATCCGATATCGCAAGCATACGGTACATGTCGGACCGCTGTATTCTCTATTTTGCGACTTGTACTTTATAAAAAGAACAAATATGACTGTCAAATTGAATCTGAAGAATATAAAAGACAAACTGAAAGACAATAGTCTGGACCTTAGTTTATGCGAACTGAAAGAAGTACCTGTACGAGAAATTGTGAGTAACGATCATTAATCTCCGTTTGCAAAAATTCAGTTTTTACGTTAATAAAGTACATAAGAACAAAATAAATTAATACATAGCAATTTTTAAACTTTGTAAATAAATCTAATGTATAGTAAACATAGAAATGTGAAAAGTCATTACAAGGTATAAATTCCTTCTGTAAGCTTTCCTTTTTTCCAAATATTTGGTCACATTCTAGGCATCTGTCAGAAAAGCCACAGATGTAAATTTGTCGACCAACCTTCTGGTTTCATTGCCGGTATGTTGTTACTGTTAATATAAGTTTTCCTTATAATCGAAGTAATCCTGCCATTGTTAACACAAAACTTGTTGTAGACTACTTTTGTTACTTTGAGACAAATTGTGAAGTTAGATCTTAGTAGGAACATGTTGACTGAACTGCCTGAAAATTTCGGTGAAATGACGCAATTAAAATATCTGGACTTATACGCTAATCAGGTAAAGAACATTCTTGCGATCTTCGTGTAATTCTTCCTCGTGCAAAGGAAATATATCATACAAAGTAATTTATAGATCAGCAGACTACCATTAAGTCTAAGCGAATTAAAGAACCTAAGATGGTTGGATTTGAAAGAAAATCCCTTGACTGAGGCTGTAGCAAGTGTAGCGGGACCATGTAGCAATTTGAGCGAGTGTCAAGCTTGCGCTCGTAATGTTGTTAACTATTTGTCCACTGTTAAACTCCTGATAGAAGAAGAGAAATTGCGAAGATTAAATAATACCACAGGTTATATTGTTTGCATATCACTTGCTTATTGTACAATTATTGCACAAATTGCGCGTTTCGTGTTGTAACATTGAGTATTCCAGGCGAGACAGAAAAAGAAGTAACAGCTGCAAAGAAGGAGAATAAGAAGAAGAAGAAAAGGGATTCGGAAAAGGAACACAAGACCAGTTCAGGTAAAATTGGAGCTTCGACACAAAACAAAGACTTGCAGGACAATAATGATAATATAAGATTGACAGAATTGTCTGATAATAATTCTAGACGCGAATTGCATAAATTCACAGGTAATGAAACTTTATATTTACATAACTTACATTCACACAAATCTGACTCGTAATTCATCCAGTATTATTTCTGTTATAGCTGATGGTAATTCGAGTACTAGATTATATCGATCTCTGAAGTGGATGACTGTATGGCTTTTCATAATTAGCTCACTGCTCACTATAACACTAATAGTTTTTTCATGGCGCTACGAACAACAGACGGACACGTTTTTGCAAAACGCACAAATGTTGTCGGGCCTACCATTGAGACGTTATCATAAACACACCATAGATTTGTTGCAACGTATAATAGATATTACAGCTTTACATGTGAAATCTGTCACCGATGTGATAAATGATTTTTACGAAACGCATTTTAAGAGTAATACGAATAACGCAAGGAACGATTTATAGAATCGTTTATTGATATATATCCAACGAGGTAATAAAGTTGTAAAGAGTTATCCAGATTCAGATAGAATTTGCGCTTTTTATATAAAAAATTTGTTGAAATAGAGATATTTGAATTTTTTATATACAATGTTTATTGACTGAAATGATGAATCATGGCATTTACGTGCATTTCATGATTAATTCTATTGCGAGGATGTAATATAATTATTTTTAACACAGAATAAACGGAATAAATAAACAAATATTGTGCATTTTTAATCGTATTGTTCAGTGTGAGCCCGATATATAAAAAAAAATCATTAACAAAATTATATTGTAGCAATATTTAATAGTATGTAACGTTCTCCGATATACTGTTTTTAATCATCAATATAGAACATTTGAACCGATCATGTTTTTCTAATTAAGACAAGCACAAACGTGCCAATTTTCGTTATAGAATAATGTACAGCATTTCAGGTAATTCGGTTAGGTAAGACACGTCACCACTCACCAACAATGATCTGCTTTGTCTCCACATCTTAGGATATATTAATGTAGAAAAAGTCTTTCAAGAAGATTATCTCAATTCGTTACAAACTTCAGAGATTCAATACGAGCATGTATAAAGAAAACGAGGAGGAGATGACGCAATACAGTCTATTCGGGGGTCGAGTCAATATTTCGAGAAAGTTTAGGTAGGTAGGTCGAGATAAAAAGTCGAGATAAAAACGTCACGTGATCTACCTCTGATTGGTCGAAGAGTCAAATCAGGTAAAACACGTTAAACCTTTAAACTCAAGGGCTACTTCGTGAATATTCTCTTCATTCGTCTTCGAGCTGTCCTACTGTTCACATCGCAGACGAGACTAAAGTTGAACGAAGTGCCGCGTCTGGTATAAATTCTATATCACGTGTTCTGTTGCATTCGCGTCCTCGTGATATCATCTGGTTTAATTTCTGCATTTCTGCTGCAGTGCGTGCATACCTGTAGAAGAGGAAGAAAATACCATACAAAACATGTATCATCGGAGTTCGACTTGGATATCAGACGTTTTCAACGGAACCGTGCAAAGACCGTATCCGTTCCCATTACCACCGTACATCCCAGGTCCCTGTTTTCCGGATATATTTCCACCTTTATGTCCTATATGTCACATATATCCACCCATACCTCCACCCATATTCCCACCCGTATTTCCATACACATGTTTATTCATGCCATATGTATTCCTGCCATTCCCATGTCATTGCGCTTTCGCGCCCCAAGAGCGCTCTTCCACCAGGACTTCCTACGAGACTTCCTCCGTGTCAAATACAGTTGAAGAAAGGCCCACCACGGAAACAACTGAGCCTGCTCCAGTGAAGCTCACCTATAGACCAATGCCTGAAGTTCCAAAGAACGTCCCGAGAGTGAAAAAGCCACCCCCACCGGTCCCCAAAAATCATTTTTTTGAGGGAATAGATGAGATTGTTTTCAATAAACCTTTGCATTATGTCTATGACGCGGAAGCAGATTGCTATCTGTGGAAGGAGGTAGATGATGAAATCTCGACGTCGGAAGATGATGAAATCTCCACGTCGGAAGAATCTATCCCGGAGAAGGTAACATATTATAGTCGCCATATCCCGGAGGAGGACAAATATCGTCCCCATGTCCCAAAGAAGGAAGAATATCGTCCCCGAGTCCCGAAGAAGCAAGTATATCACCCTGATGTAAAAGGGACGAAGATTATTGATGGAGTTATTGTGCGGGGCATGGATCAGAAGAAAACTCCTATGGCTAGATTCAAAAGCAGAATGATGACGATCTTTGGTTAATTGTTATTTTAAGTAAGGTGTATATACTGTATGAAATTCTTTGTAAAACTGTTTCTGTACTGATATATTTGAAAACCGTAACAGAGCAAAGTTGCATTGTTATTCGGACAGAATTTGTGCTTTTTATATATCTGTTAAGGGATATATTGGCTCTCTAAGATATGGGCTTTTTTTACGGTTTTCAGTTCCAGCCAGAAGTCTCCGAAGTTGTCTCTTATTTTATTTAGCTCATAACAGAAACAATACATTATATGATATATTTAAAACTATCGATCGTTTATCAATCTTCGGTCACGAATTTTCAAATTATACTGATTTTTGTGACTCGCCCCTCAGTTTTCTCTCAGGTTTCTGTCATCGAAATTACTACTTGTAACATATTTATCTTTATATTTTATTCACAATGTAGTATCTGCAAGCGTAAACTCTTCTGTATTTATCGTACCAAAAAATAAATATGCATATAAAAATAAAAATAAATTTTTCCTGCGAACTCAAATAAATAATGATAATAAATAATAATAATAAACAATTTGTTGAAATAAAGCGGAACAAATTCTGAACAGCTTTAGCCTTGAGCTAATCTTTGGATAATTAGAAGTTTCCAACGCCATCTTATTGTATATGGTTTGTCATTGAATTCCGGGAAAAACTTTCTTCGTCGTACACTGGGAGATAAACGAGACAATGACACAATAGAATACACATGACAGGCAGATGTTTCGAGGAAAAGTTCCGGAGAAAAAAATGTCACGGGATTATTCGCAAAAACTACGATCTACCTGTGAATGGTCGGCATCGAAGATTACTTTGATTTTAATATGTGTGCGTTATCTACATCACAGTACACGTCATGAGCCTTGACATGTTCGTGTTTAGATACGATCTATGGCACTCATGTAAAAGCTGAACAAAACTTTCAACATACTTGTGCCTTTGATATTGATTATTATATTAAAAATAACAGCAAACGCTTGTATCTTAGGTCTGCTCTTTTTCGCCGAACTAGTGTACATTTATAGAAAGCAGTGAAATCTAAAAAGAGATAGATACATCGTTATAATTCGATAGAGGTAAGAGAAAAAGAGAACTACTGCAAGCTGCTGGTGCAGCCAGCTGCAATGAAACAGAACAGGCCTCTCGTGTTTCCGTTGTCAAAATAATGCTAACACGTTGAGTGCCACGTGGGGATCATCAGTGGAAAGTCATCGTGAGTCCACGTGATTGTGCAGCACTCAACATATTAACTCAACATATTAATAAATGAATATTTATGTATTATTTTTTTCTTCAAGAGCCCTGGCGGTAAGCCAACGTTTCTGCGACGTACGTATTTCAGTAGGAAGTATCCGATAGAAAAATCCAGAATTCTGATGACTCATTAGAACGGTGTATTAGGAAGAAACTTCGGCCCTGCAGGAAGTGGAGGTTCAAACGTTTGATGGAGGGGACACACGGCGAATGTAAGCTGGCCAAAGCGAGGGGCGCACACCCTTCCCTAAAAGTTCTGAGGCCCCACCCTCCTTCCCTCTTCTTCCAGAATCACTGTTCAAGTGAGTCAGCTCATCGGTCAGTCTCTTTGTCCGTCTTCATCCGTCTTCGAGCTTCCGTACCGTTCACGTCGCAGACGCTGAGGCTAAAGTTGAACACAGCCACGCTTAGCGTAAGCTTCGCATTACGCGCTCTTCGTTGCCTCCACGTGATATTCTTTCGTTAATTTCCGCTTCTCTGCTGCAGTGCGTATATCTTGAAGAAGAGAAGGAAGGAAAAGACCGGTGGAAAAATGGGTGGATTATATTCGGCTTTTGAAAAGGACGTCATCAACATTGTTATGTCGTTGGACCAACAGCCAGAATCGTACGACGTGCATACCGAGTATCAGTATTTTCCACACATGTTTCCACACACGTTTCAGTCACGCACATACACGAATGGACGTTCGACCACCACGGAAATAATTGAGGAAAGAACCGGGCCGATGGTGCGCCGTGTTACACGTATTACACCACGTGTTACACCACCTGTCATTTATCCGAGAAGCATCATAGAAACGAATAATTATATACAATATTATTATTAAACCGCTAGCTCCTTTATATACCGTGTGAAAAAATGAACTCTGAAAAATGTCCCGGTGAGCGAGAAACATCGAATCAATTTCTTGAAACATTGATTTGATGAACATTTTGACACAATGTTTGATAAATGTTCTTCAACTGTTACTTGATCATATTCCTGAATAATAAAATCATACAAATATTGTTTTCACTATTTGGATCATATATTGTTAACAATGATATTACATATAACATTAAGAACTACATGTTTGAAAGCATTACATGTTACAAAATCTTATTGTGGTGATATTGTGTTAATGATTTCTTGCTTACCGGGGTGTATTGCATACTAGTCGTTAAGTAGGAAAGAAGAGCGGTAATAGATAAATGTAACTTGGCAATTTGATGGGAGCGTGAAAATATGAATTGTGCGAAACGACCGACAGACGCGAAAGAAAGAAAGACGGTGAACACAAGGGCACGGTAATAATAATGCACTTTGAATAATTGTTATTTTAAGTAATACGAATACTGTGTGAAATTTTTTACAGAATTGTTTCTATTGATATATTTGAATAATGTGACGTAATGTAAAATAAAATCGTAATTAATTATATATTCAGATTCAGGTAGAATTTATATCCCTTTATGTATGTTAGTTATACTTTTGTAACTCGTCCCTCAGTTCTCTCAGATTTCTGTCGTTTAAACTAACGTATATACTCGTATATTATTGTAATACGTTTATATTTTATTCCCAATGTAATGCCTGTAAGCGTAAATTTCTCATCGTATTCATTGTAAAAGAGAGAAAATTTTTTTTCCACGAACTCAAGTAATAATAAACAATTTGTTGAATAAAGCAGATTTCAATTTTTCTACATATAATGTTTATTGGCTAAAATGACTCATCGTGGTATTTATGCGCATTTCGTCCCATCGCGAGGATGTAATATAATTGTTTTCAACATAAAATAAACGGAATAAGTAAGCAAATATTGCGTATTGTTAATTATACATTATTAACCAATATGGAATCCCAATAAAAGAAAGAAAACTTGATAAAATAATATTTCAGCAATATGTCGAATATAACGTTTTCAAATATGCGATTTTTAACCACCTAGAATAGAATACCTAGACGAAGCACGTATTGCTAATTAAGACAAATGTAAATGTGCTAGTTGCCGGTAAAGGATAAAGTACGGACAGATTTTACTTCAAGACATTCGGTTCAATTGCTATTCGCTAACAATGACCTGCTTTGTGTGTGTATCTCCCAGTACATTAACGTGTCATATCTTTTCCAAAACGCTATCTTAATTCGTTCCGCACAACAAAGGTTCAACACGAGCAGGTATATAGAATGCTTTGTCCATATATTCAAAATAAAGTCGGCAGAACTTAAGTTTGCACTGAAGTCTGTAAAGAGATAAAAAAACATATTCTTTCAATCTCGAGTAGAGGGTAACTTTCACCAACTTTCATCCTGACGAGTCTAATGGACGATTGAAAACGCTCTAATAGTCAGGTATTATTTAGTGGAAATTTTCAATTGTTTTTGAACGTACAAATAATATGAAATATCGTTTTCCCTTTGCTGTTACCAGCTATTTTTAGACCTGGAAAATAAGAAAATTCCTTCGCAAGGGGACGGAAGGCGAATGAGCGCTGAACAAATTCTAAACAATGAGCTGGACTTGAGGCTTTTAAAACTTTCCCACGCTGATTTATTATTCATTGCTTCAAAAGAAACAGTTTTCTTGTTGAAAGATGGATAGGTAAACGATAAAACACGATAGAGTTCATTAGCAGGGGTAAGAAATTCCAAAAAAAGCCTGGAAGGCTTCGGTAAAAAAGGGATGACAAAATGACCCTTTACTTTGGAGGGGAGACTATTCACAGGTCCTAATTGGTCGAAGGATCAGGTATAAAAGCTTAGGTCTCGACTGCTCTCTTGTTCATTCGTCTCCGAGCTGTGTTCTCGTTCACGTTCGCCTACAACGCTAAGTCGAACGCAGCTGAGTAGCTTGTTCATTCGTCTTCGAGCTACTGTGTCGTTCACTACCTGCCAACTAAGGACTGCTAAGTCGAAAACATCCTCATCGAGAGATTATTTTGATCCTAGTATGTGAGATTTATATATTTTTTTAATTGTGCATTCGCGCCCACGCGAATATTGTTTCACTAATTTTTGCTTTTCTGCTGCAGGACGTACCTTGAAGAAGAAGGCGAGATACTATCGAAAATGCCTGGTTTTCGTCCGTGGATACCTCAGGAAGACATTAGAAGGCAGCTTTGGGAGTATGAAAACCACAACAGACGGTTTCTGATGAATAACGACGGCATACATCTGCAAATCCCGCTGGAGTCTTCACATCCGAGGTATACCGGTGTCATCGATATCAGAACCAACAATTATCCTGGCACCATGGCTGTGAATACAAACGGGCCCTCTCTGAAAATATCTCATAATAATCAAGGACACCCCTCGAATTTTCAACTATCTTTTACGCAACGCTACCAAGGCATCTGACGGACGCAACCGATGGATACGAATGCTTCGTTTCGACAACTGTGAGATGTTATTCTGTGGCTTTCCCGATAGCTTCCGCCATTCGTAAATATATCGAGGAATAGAAAAACACTCGAGGCCAAAGTCAAAGTTGTGAATACACGATTAACGCGAATAATTGTTTGTTAAAGTGAACTTGCCCGTAGATCATAGATCGTAGAATCGGTACTCATAGCCAGATCTTACATTTAAAATCATCGTAAATCCATCTTGAGATACGTTGTAGCCAATGAAACGATCCATTGGGCCCGTATTTATCAATCATCTTATATTTAAGACCGTCGTAAGTTTGTCTCGAGATGCTGTACGGCTCGTTTCACTGGCCACGAAACATCTGAAGATGAACTTAAGACGGCTTAAATATAAGATCCGACTATGAACACCAGACACACACACACACACACACACACACACACACACACACACACACGTATTTGATAGTGAATTTTAGACAATCGTAAATCGTCGAGAAGTTTTAGCTGTCATTTTAAATAAGACTACATATATATACATTTTACACATATCTCAGTCGTTTAGTTATAAGCAAATTAATGTTTCTAACATTATACTCGTTAACTTGAGTAAATGTTACTCTTATGTATTGTTAACATTGTTACCATCAGGAAACTTCTTTCATGCGTTCCTCAATTAAATGAATATTTATGGATATATCGTAGTAATTTATTGTAATCCTATCATTTAGTGTAATGTGCAGAATTTATTATAATTTTATCGTATTCTACATTAGTAATATTACGTCGATATTACGTCGCAAACAGAATCTGCTTTTCGATCTGTTTTTTTTTGTTGTCTCGTGGCTGCATCGAAAATCGAAATTTCATCATGCACACGCATCCCCGATATTCCTATACGGGTTCGTCCAATTAAATATGAATATTTATAAATGCCCATTAATACAAGTTAAATTCTCCTTTTGAACTTTATCGCCTACTTATAATCCAACTTTAATATTCATTTCTACCACCAATTATATTTTTTCTATTTTCTTCTTTATTATAACTATCTAAATAGCAAGATGACGTCAAATTACGTCTTGGTAATGTTTTAATGATGTATCTTAATAACGTCGATAAGACGTCATTAAAACGTCATTTGATGTCTCTTTGCTGTCAAGGTAGATATAAAATGAATTTTACGATTACATATCAAGATTACAATCAAGAGCTGCTATGATGTTGCAATTTCGATAAATAATAATGCGTGTGTCAATCTGCAATCACGAAGTAAATCACGCAAAATCGAGAGGAACAAATATAGAATAGTCTGTTAGCCGTTTGCAGAGTCGCGATAAAATTTCGAGCTCGATGCCTTGGCAGTGACGATCCTAAAAACCGCTTCTTAACACTATTGCGACAGTAAATACGAGAAATGTGAAGAAAAAACTATGAGAGAGAGAGAGAACCTTTTCTCTCACAGTCCTTCTTCCTTTTTCGTTGAGTTTATTCACTATCATTCGCAAATATTTGCCCACCTATAAGAAGAATAAACTGAATTTTCCTACAAAATATTTAAGATTTTGGACGATCGTAAATCGTCGTGAAATTTTAATTATATTTGGGTTAAATTGTTGTTTGCATTTATCTATCCGGCTTTATTTGAAATAAAAGGATTCTTTTTTTTTTCAAGATCTTTATACGTTTTCGAGAAACACGAAAAATTATGGGCGAGCAAATAATTGTGATCGATAGCACATACCTATAAGAATTTTTATCAGTTATAATATATATATATATATATATATACGAAAAACGTGTTCTTCTTTCGCTCTTCTTCATTTATATATAATTACAATATATAATTCTTTCTTCTTTTAATATTATTATCCTCTCTAAAAATATGCAAACAAAAATGGCCGAGCGGCGTCGAAGAGGCGCATTGACCCGCAACAGCTCTTCACGCGACCAACAAACGTTTACACGTCGCTCGTGTAAACTTACAAAGGATGGCGACGGCCGTGTTTAAGCCAAAGATCGAAACCGTTATAATTTTGCAAAGGATCAAATTTTTTATGCCATAACCACGATGTATATATATAAATGTTTAATTTCAGAGTGTGAATGCGCTACGGTTTTCACTTTAAAACATTTTTCCCGACTTGATATTCTCCGAGAGATGCATTTGTCGCACTTCATCGTGCCTCGTCATATTTCTGTAGCATTAATTCATTCATAGCAATTTGACACTCCTACAAAATTCTACCGGTCTCGATTCCCAATTCAATCGTCGTGTTCGACCGAGAGAGTGTGTGCATTCCACTGGACTTAGTAGTGATAGCTTAAATCTAATCGCACTGAGGCTAGAATAACAATCAGTGAACATTCAAAACACCCTCATTTATTTTTACATTCTAAGGCTGATAATAATTCAGAGGTCCGCAATACGATTTTTACTTAGAAACAAATCCTAATTTTAAGATATATAAGGCTGAAAAGATGCGTCAGTTTTACTTTTTGCACGAGATTCTAAATATATTGAAATATGGCAAGCGAGAAATACAACAGAACTTTTAAAATATATAACGATTTTTTTTCCGCATTCGCAATGAGAACCAACTGAAAACGTCGTTGCGGAACGTCTTCAGTTCGATCTCATTATTCGATATTTCAGAATTCAAGTTATCTGCAACGTATGCGAGTTTGTAAATAATTACTATACTTCCATTATCCGCCGTTTAAATCCTGAGGGCAATTTTAGTTCACTGCTCAATCTGAACCCCGAACTCGTCTCTTAAAATCTACCAAGGGGCGCCAGCGCCCCGTATTCTTCGAATTCTACGAATACACGGACGTCATGCCTGCTAAAAAGTGGCTCTTTTTTTTTACATATCGTTGCGTCGACAGACATGCAAAATTCTCCCTGACGAAAAACTTCTCGAAACTTCAAAAAGAGGGGGACAATGCCTCGGAAAATCGTCATTAGTCCCGAGGTCGGTACGGGGAGATGACATTCCAAAATACAATTTTCTCGAAATATATTCGCAAGTACGCGCAACACAGAATCGAAGAGCTTATTTCTGAGTCATCTTAAATCCGATTTTACATCCATACAATGAAGATCGCATGCTATTAATCTCATCTTCTGGCTTGTTTTATATATATTTTCCTTAATATGGATTAGACAGCTCACGGAAATCAGCTTTTCAATTCTGAGAAAAAAACCCCGAAATTGGTATAGGGAGACGATGTCTCCCGACGTACAAGTTTGCCGAAATGTCAGTACACAGAAAATTTGCAGTACAGAATAACGACTCAAATATATCTTCCTTTTTCTTACCTCTTTTCACTTTATCATCTACATCTCACTTCGTATTCCTTGCTCCTTCAGCATGTATATTATTTCAATATAGATTTTATGTGATAAAAAATCCAAACAAAATAAATTAAACAGCTCTGTAGAAATACAATTTCAAAAGAAACGATTAATTTTACACTTCAAATTACACAATATTCTGATGGGAAATAATCAAAATAGTAGATCTTTATCCGATTACGCAAGATATTCACGAGAGATTTTTCTTTTCAAAGCGCAAAATTCGCCCATCTCTTTATATTTCTACATTTGATATCTTTCTGGATTCTGAAGAGATACGAGCCGTAACGCTGATGATAAAGCGAAAATGAATCAACAAATCATCAGTTTTCGTTCTATCTCAAATGCTGCTCTCCTTCTATTCGTCTACCAATTCCCAGAGCATCAGTGCGGCGTCGGTGCCGCCAACGGTGACGACGTTCTGGTCGTTGTACAAAAACCTGGCGCACGCCACTAGCGAGCTGTACACCTTCTCTTCCACGTACTCTGCTTTAGCACTAGTACACGGGTACCGAAAAAGCCTCAAGTAACCTTCGGCGTCTCCGCTAACTAACATATCGTGAGCCGCCGATCTGCTGGAGGTGGTCACCACCGTCGTTAAAGGATAGTAGCGGTTATTCCACATACCTGCGAACAATCGTGAAGTCTAGTTTTCGCATCTGACAGCAGTTTGGTTTGTTCTGAGAATCGGCCCCAGATTGGCCAAGGAAGAACAAAAACCGTAAGGGTGCATCATTAAGAAATACACCTGTCTCGTGTATATTTCGTATATTATATAAAGAATATGTGTTTTAACGAAACAACGATGAGTCGTCGACTAACCGGAAACCATATAGCCGACGGTGCAGTTATGAGTGTACCACTTGACGTCCTTCATGACCAACGGGCTCTTCTCCGACGACAGCACTTTGACGTCCCCTTGTAATAAAATTTATATTACAGATTACAATACATCCAATGTGCAAAAAAGAGATTTCTCTTCCTTTGTGAGAGAATTACAAGTGAATTAATATTGCAGTAACTTACAGAACACGAGATCGTAGTCTTGGGTGACAGTCTGGAGGAAACGGCTGTCGGAGCTCCAGTCGAGCTGGACCAATGGCTGCGTGCCACGGATCTTGTTGCTCTTTTTGTACGAAAATCCGTCCCGCGACACTCTGAAGAGGTATACACTGCCGTTCTGGGAACCCATGGCCACTATCTCCCCGGCTGATAGAGATAAAATGTGTTAAAACGCTTCGTTGAAAAAACAACGTATAAACAAATGTATTACGCATGCGGTATGCCGTATTCGTAGGATTACATGAATTCAGTTCATCTTTTTGCGGTATCAACGTGAGCGATCGTCAAAAACGAAAGGGGGGATACTTGTGTCGTACTGGGATTGTATCCGATGCAAGACAGCGGTGATCCACACACCCGCAGGGTCGCCACGGCGGCACCGGTGTCGGCCGCCAGCACCAAGAGATGACCCTCCGATGAGCCCGCCGCGAGTGCCACGCCGAACGGGTGGAAGGCGATACAGATACACTCGAAACCCACCTGCAGCGGATTGTGTAAACGATAAATGGCACTTTTAGCTATCGAGTATCTTCCCCTATGATTTATTTCTTATAATCCCATTGATAAAAAAAAATAGGATCATTAGAAGAAAGGATAACAGGGTCTCTACGTGAAGAGAAGTAATTTAGAGGCAGCGAATTTTACGTTGTTGTGACAAATAAAATACTATATACGATGTTCTTAAGTATTGTCCGATATTTTAAGAGTTGATTCTTGAGATTATTTCGTAAAACGAAAAGTTCACATGAACATACGTTCATTTCTTTATAAAACGTCCTCGAAAAAATTAACTCTTAATATATTGGACGGTACTTAAGAAACACCTTATATATTAATTTATTTACTACGACAGCATAAAATTGGCTGAATTATTTTTTTCCCGGATAAGTCGGTCAGTCGGTGCATTTAGTAGTGATAAACCATAAAAATAGCCTCCTCGTCGTTCTAAACTTCTCGATTTTACCTGCGTGGTCCAAAGAAGCTTGTGCCTCCGCCACAAGGCGATGTTCTTGTCGTGGCCTGCGGTAGCGAACACCTCATCGTCAGGATGAACCGCCAAACCCCACAGTTGTCTACCGTGACCGAACACTACTTGATTGAACCTTCTTTGCAGGGAACCCTCCAGAATGTTGTTCCGCGTTGTCCCGACGTAAATGTTGCCGTCGTTTCTGCCGGGCCGTTGCGGATATATACTGCGCACTCCGCCTACCGATTCCGGTAGCTGCAATGAGAGAAAAGTTTGGTGAATTTTTTGAACGTTGATTGCTACAGATAACTGGTTTGCGGATTTACAAATTGGCGAGCGCAATTGGTCATACGGATAAATATTAACTTTTCTATACGCTTGGCTTCTGTATGCTTTTTTACATTGTTCTGGTCTTAAGTAAGAAAATCTAAGAACTTGACGAAAAATTCGATTTCGGGCGAAATGAAAAAAGAACGAAGAACAATATTAATTAAGACAAAATTATACGACACGTAAATTATATAGATAAAAATTACATAAGTAAATCTGTACATTGATCTCTGCACTTACCTTTGTGTCAGTGATGCGTTTATAGTTCTGTAGTGAGTCCCATGCGGCGATCTTGCGATCCTTCTCACCGCCAGAGAGCAATGTGCCCTCCGATAACATGACGAGGGAGCTGATGCCTTTGTTGTGCGCCTCGAACTCCATTCGCACGAAATACGCGCCGTCCGCGTCCACTGAGTACACTGTGATGAAGCCGTCGCTGTCCGCCGTCACCACGTCGCCATCTTGCTCGAACTGGAGGCTCGTCACGTGCGTGCGCGATGGCTGGAGACATTCCGAATGAAACGTAACAAAAAAATAAGCTTCTCTATGGTACAAAGAGATATTTTTCATTTTTATCGGTTAATAGCAAGCCCCCTTCTCTGTAGATCCTTGAATTGTAATGAATTCAAAGTAGGATCATTCGGATGCATGATACAAAAGAAGGAGAAGTTTATGGTATACGCTAAGAGTTTAAAAGAGTTAGGCAGGTAAGATATGTTCCATGTGGACTTACAGGTTTGATAATGTCGGTTCGTTCGAAGAAACCGTCTTTTCGACGATTCCAGAAGGTCAGATGGCCGCGTCCATGCGTTATCAATAGGTTGTCGTCCAGCGGGTGAAACGCCGCACCTGTGAGATCCTCCTGCATGGTCTGCCAATTTAAATTGGCAAACGCACGTGTGAAATTCGCGCGTGGAAAAAGTAGCGACGTGTTCGTATTTTGCATCTTGTGGAACTTACCGCCACCTTGCCCAGTAAATGACCCCACTGCCATTGCCACACCGATAGTATGGCCTCTCTTCCAGCGTCCACGGCCAGCACGTAACTACCGCCATTCTGTGCGAAATAACAAAGAATTTCGCCAACGTTAGAAAAACGATAGAGAACGATTAAAAATCACAAGATCTACGACACATGGTTGCTTTTCGCGGAGGCTTCGCGACATATTTACCAACTGCGAGAACGCGAGTGCCGATACGCCCATCTGGAACTCGGTCATGCCGAACACGTAAAGGGTGAGTAGGGTCTCCGTGGACCAAATGCGCACGTGAGGCTGAGCCTTTCTGTGTCTGCCGGCTCTCTGACCGGACGCCACGAGTTCTCGGCTGGGATGAACCTGCGGAAATCATTCGTTTGACTCTCATTTACGATTACTGTTGCATACGTCTGAACACTTTAAGTGCTCCTTAAGTATCTACCCATTTATACTTCCCCGATTTTTCCAAAAATATAATACGGTAGTGACTTAAAAAAGAACGTCTTTCTACCTTATAAATAAGCAAATATATAAACAAGGTTCTCTGGCGCGAAGAAATATCGTTTCAGTTAATAGCAAGCTCGTTTCCCTGTGAACCTTTTAATTATAACAAGCGTTTTAAAATAGAATTATTCGGATTGCACGGTAGGCTAAAATGGCTAAAAAAAAAAGATATAAGCAAGTATCAAGCAAACGCCTTGTCTGGTATGTGAGTAATTATTAATTGAGTAATATTCTCGACGAGAGACGATCCGAATTTTCGGCACGACTGGAGTCGCCGGAGCTCTCGAAGACTTTGAAGGTAAAAACTCGGCAGTCTACCTCCATGCAGGTGATATCTTCCGTGTGACCGATGTAGTGCCGCTGCGCGTTCTCTTCCCGGTCGAAGAGTATCGCCACGGCGGCGACGTAATACAATAATTCGCCGCTGGGCAAGACCCAGAGATTTCGACGGGTGTCGGTGCCCCGGTAACCGTACACCCACTCCAGTTGCAGCTTCTTCTCCGGCGGCGAGTTGTCGACCGGGGGTAAGTGCGAAGGCGGGTAGAAAGAGCGCCTGAGTCCCCTGATCGTCACCCTGGCCGGCTCCTCGCGCAACACCTCCACCACACTGTAATCTGTTCGGAATACGATGTATCCTTAAAGTCAAGAATTTCCGTCGAGGCGTGCGTTCTTTCGAATTGGCTCGCGCGAATTCTAGCAATAAAGTCGGTCGTTGTCGATCGTTTTTACCGTTCACTCGAACAACTTCTGAGTCGGCGGCGTACAGAGCCCGAGGTCTGCTCTTGCTGCGCGCTCTTCTCTGGCGACCGACCTCTTCGACGACAGGGGGTGGCCCGCGCGAACGAGATCTTCGCGCCGGAGACGTCGTAATGGCGCCGGCCATGCCGAGGACCGCGCCGGTGCCGAGGTAAAACGTGTCTACATCGGCGAATTCGTTCCTCAGCTGTGAGAAGCTCCTCACCTGCTGGCAAATTGCGAAAATGCGTATCTCTGTCTGTACTTGGTCAATATGAACGAGGTGTCCTTAAAGGCCCCGAGTTCCCCGGTCTGTTCGCAGGCAGAGCGAAATATTCCATCAAGCGTGTAAAATAAAAAAAGGAAAAAGAGAATAATATCCTGAGAGCTGCCAATTCGATTCCGTCCCCCATCTCCTCTTTCTTCTCTCTCTCTCTCTTTCTCCTTCTAATGCGAAACGATTCGCCTGTTCGTGTAATCATCTATCCGTGTGTTACGTGAGTTATCGGCTTACGTCACACAGAGAGCGCAAGATCGCTTGTGATGTAACGCAGAGAGTAAGAGGGGTCGATGATGTGCCTCGCCAAAGAAAATTGGCGAGACATTTGAAATTCATATATGATCGTGACCTGGAAAATATGGATCTCTGACCTTTTTATACACGTGGTGCCACGTCCGTCCCACTTACACGACTACGCCACTCGTTCGCTCTCAAGAGAGACGTATAATCATGTAATTTATTACATTGTCAAAAATACGGGTACAACACGTCACGCCTACGTCACGCTTTCACCCCTTCGATCCGAGCAGTGTGGAGATTTAAATGGTATACTCAAGTGTCGTCAGTTGTCACGGCAAAAATTTCATTTAATGTACTAAATAACAGATTAATAGAAATGTTCGTGCAATGGCGCGCACGCGCAAACCGAAGTCGATTTGATTTGTCATATGTATACATGTGAAAAATTAGTCTTAAATCAAGAATGGGTATTCTCATATATAAACAAGAATACTATAATCTTCTTCGAAGATTTAACCTTGAATTGAGTTCAAGTAATACCTCGCATGAATATAAATTCAATCAAATCAAGACTAAAAGTCTCCTAAGAAGATTATGATATTCTTGCTTATATAGGAGAATATCTATTCTTGATTTATATAAGACTAATTTTTTTCCCGCGCACGTGATCGGTCGTATCACGCACGTGTTTCGTAAAAATGTGTGGAGTAAATCTCTCCTCACATTAGTGATCCCATTAGCGGTCGCCCTTACAAAAATAACTCATCGTTTTCAGCCCGTGAAAACTTGGTTGGTTTGAGTAATAAAAACGTGCATTCGACTGAGTGAGTAGAAACGAAACAAAATATGTGCGACGCCGTTTCTACGTCAAGGAGGAGGGGCACTTTTTCGTAATAATAACGAGTGGTTTTAGCGGATTGCACACGAAATGGGTGTCAACGTGCTATTGAGTATTTTTGAGCGGTAAACACGTACAGTGCTGTGTAAATTTGAGTGCAAACGTATATTCAGCTACAAGTACAAAATACTTATTTAATATTCGCAAGAATTTATATCGCGCCTTTTGAGAGAGAACGAGTAAATGAACGACTCTTCGGCGCTTAAGCTTTAAGCTTTTTCCGTATTGAAACGAAACTGAGGGAAAAAACGAACATATTAGTATGCTGTCACTCATCAGCTGGAAAACGAATATCGATGACGGGCAATCTTTTCAAGAATACTCTTGTGTACTCGTCAGATTTCTTCGTTTCACAGACTGCGCGTGCCTGAGAATGCGAGAAACGAGCATAAAATTGATAGAGCATTTGAAAAACGAGCGGAAATCGGTGAAATATTTTCGTAAGGGTCTCTGTACGCGAATCACGAGCACCACAAACATCCCTCGAAAGCGACTTATGGGACGTACAGGTAATAAGTTTATTTCGCTGGGTCTCGAGGGCCGACCCCGTTATCGTCACGCTTCTCTCGTCCTCGCTACCCCGTTGCGGCATACATATTTATAGACTAACGTCGCTCGAGTCGATTTTGCGAGTATGATGCCGATACTTCGGATTTACATACGTTCCTTTCTTTCTCTCCTTTTTTCCCCGCGGACCTTCGAATCACGCACTCACTCCCGAATATAAAAACAAGCCGTAAATCATGGAGTTTTCACAAAGTCAAAATTTAACTCACGCAAGTCAATTAGGAGGGTGAGAATTATACTCGGAAAAAAAAAAACGAAAAAATATGTCGGTTTTTCGCTTAATTCACACACGCGCATTCAGCATGAAAGGTTTGCAGAAAGTAACCGGGCGGATCTTAAATAACAACTGACCTCTTGTCCTGAAACGGTGAACATCCTCTTGGCTCCGTTCATCTTCAGCACTTGCCCAAGATCCTCCAGGACTTCCTCGAAGGGTTGCGAGGTGCGAAGATTTAGCAGGACTCGGCACTGGCAAGTTAGATTTGTCGATATGTAATAAGCTTCTTTACAATTCGCCGCTAAATCATCGCGTTAACGATTGTGAAAGTATGAAAGAAGTTCATCATTGAAATTCTCCCGAATTTAGGGATGAAAATCCTGCTACTAGAATGTCGTTGACACAGTTCTCTACTAGAAACGCCGTATATCACGCTCCCTGCATGCACGACGACCCTATATTTAGCGAGCGGCCTCTCGTACCTGCACGGTGTGATCGTGGTTGTTGACAATGCGGATGACACGACCCGATGAGGGCTTTCCACCCCCGCCTGGGGGCGGTGCCTCGTCACTGATGGAAGCCTTCCTACTGAGACTCGCTACCGCTGGCGGTCTATTTTGCCATCCGCCGCCGCCAGCCCCGCTTGCGGTCCCTACGACGCCGCTCCTGCTAGCCCCGCCGCCTCCGGTAGCAGGGGTTGTGTACCAGGTATTGTTCTTCTTCCCGTAGCTGGCCGGCTGGTGAAAAAATCCAAAACAGTTGTTGTTAAAATTTATATTATATTCCTCTAAGTTCGACTGCTTATCTAATTATTCAGTAAACGTTAACTAACAATAACATGATATAACTATTTATATATAACGCGTATTATATTGCACTTTGTTGAGTGAGAAATTATAATATTGACGTAATGTTATTGTTAGTTGCTGTTTACTGTCGATCGATTACTCTATCTATATTATCACTTTGAAGAAGAGGAAGCATTGCGATCCAAAAGACCCTCTTATGTTACTCATGTGTTTTAATTGTTAATTTCCAATTATTAATGTTAATATCGAATATTTTATTTCGATTATATATTTTAGACTCTTCATTTATATTTATCGATAAATGCAACACCTTTCTTAAGAGAAGTTGCGCAACAGAAGTGTATTGCAAGAACATTGGAAATATTTCGGGTGAGAAAATATTTGCAAAAATTCCCACTTTTTTCCCCCCCTCTACTTTTATTATTTCCCTCTCTATATTTAGTATTTATTACGATCTCTATTTAATATTCTTCTTCTTATCGTAAGTCCCATGCAATGTCGCTCGTAAGTGCTCGAAGAACCTGCATCATCTCGGCCGGCAGCGATATCACTTCGAAGGAGTCGCTCATCAACACGACGAAGCTGTCCGAGTAGTAAGAATTCTGATCCCAGGACTCGGCTTCTGAGTCACTAAGAGAGTCCGTATTTTCTCGCCCGGCGCCAAAATTCGGCTCCAGGTCCGATCGAGAAGACGAACTTGCCGACTCAATTGTGAAGTCCGACCGTGTCTCTCCTGCGGATCCGCTGACTTCGCTTCGCGCACCTCCGAGCGTCGATCGCGCGGTCTCACATGATCCCACTGGAAACTTCCACCGATTCACTGTCTCCCGCCTTGCGAATCGCGATCGAGAGTTTTCAATTTTCGATCTTGACGCTCCGATCCTCGGGCCTCAAATGCGCATTAAATTCCTTACTTATCCCACGATCTCCTCTCGATCGCGTACTTCGACGCAACTTCCCCCGTAATTGTCGCAAGTAGAACTTCACACGCGAACGACGTAAATTCACAATTAAGATATTTAAAAGTGCAAAAAAATCTCTTTAAACTGCCGCGTCAGATCGCGATTATCCTCGATTAGCGGTTAACCCTCGAGTCACTGGGGACTGGGGGTCGTGCCTTTGAAAAACTCGCGGGACGACCGCTCTTGGTCGAGCTGCTGTGTAACCGCGACTATGTTCAATGGACGACTAGCGGGGTTGCTTCGGGCGTAGGTGGGGTGGAGGTTGTATTGAGGAACCAATGCTGCAACATCCCCTACCACACTCCTCTCCGCGAAGGGCTGTCGTCGCGCGCTCAAGGACAGGGCTTCCCCCTGATCCGCGCCACCCTCCTTACCACTTCAGCCACCACCATCCCTTCTCCAGCTGGTAATACTAATTCAGAATGCTAATTTGAGGAACGAAGAGAGAATCACGTCATTCCTTCTTTTTCTGGACTAATGCTTCTTAATGGATATGTTTAGTGGGTCCTACTTCACCCTGCGTCAGCCGGGTGTGAATTCTGCAATTCTTGTTCGACCGCGATGAATCGGCGCGGAGTGCACAGAGAGAAATATTTCTTGCACCGCGCGAAGAAAAGCAACTACTCTGTTTATTTCTCTTTTTCTTCTTTTTGACTAATGGTTGTCCCGAGCCAAGAATATTTCTGTGATATAATATCAAAATGTAATCATTTATTATAAGTTCATCATAAGCATCAAATTTAAACAAAATATATTCTGAATCCTAATAAGATTAGCATTTCAATCAAAAATATTACATTAAAACAATAAAACTTCAATTTACTTATTCCAATTAGCTCGAATTTAACTTTTCGATAAAATTTGCAATAATCTTGCAAAAAGAACAAATTCTTCTTTTGAATAAATTTTAATACCATTATCAGGAAAATATTCTTCGTTTGAGATACTTTATTATTACTTAAAAAAAAAAAGGAAAGACAAACTAAATCATTGTTTTTTTTTTCACAGTACAAGTAATATTTTTCTGTATGTAAGCTTCTGAAGACACGAGCGAGCTCTCCACGGCCTGAAGCATACATGCGAGTGCATCGAAGAGAATATTGATCAGGAGTAAAAGATGTAGGCACGAAGAATCGACGCATTTATCATACCGACCTACATATGACCGAATATTCGGCGGATTCGGCTTTCGTAAAAACGGCCGATCCTTTTGATCATTAATGCGAAAAGACCGCAGGTTCCGCCGTATTTAACCCATTTATCCCGACAAAAACGATAAAAAAGACGAGCGTAAAAGCAAAACGCGGAAATTACGGACGCCCACGCCTTCCTGATAAATCTGAAACGGGATATCTGCCGTAGGAGAAGAAACCAGTGGGTAAAGCACTTAGATTGATTGGCTTACGTCGGCCAATATTTAAAGCGGACCTCAAAGGGGAGAAAAAAGGCCAACCGGGGCGGCTAATAGACCAATGAATTATGTTATGGTTTCGAAACACGCACCCAGTGCCACATTGACAATGTGTTAATCACTTGTATAAAATACTTGCTTTACCACGATTCTTGAATAATTCTTTGTAATAATGAGCCTGAAATTTGAAGTAAAAGATAACTACCGAGCAATAATAATAATACTGGAAAGCGCTCTAAACACGAACATAATTTAAATGAAATTCAGTCACCCAAACTTATTTTTTATTTAGTTTCGATTTCATTCAATTTAAATCGAAATCGTCGCAGAAAGGATGTATTCGCATTTGGCCGGCCGACAAGTCGTGGAGATTCAATACAAGGTCGTAGGTCGGCATGATAATAGTAGTAGGAATGGAGAGGAAAGGGAAGGGGGGGATTCTCACAAGGCGAAGGTCAGACTACCCCTTATTCTCTCGGACCGAACCAACCGGCGGGCCGTCCTACGTCAATGTGATGCTTTAACCCCTCTCTCAGGTCGTTAGTATTTCGTTCCTACGAATTTCATTGTGGTATTCACTTCGGGGCTTTTTACACACTATGATAATATAAAGAAATAAATATATCTACTCTCATTATATACATAATATGTTTCCGATCCTTCAAATAATAGAAAAAAATGCGTGTTAGAATTATGAAATATATTATTATATATAATGTTTGATAATACAGAAACTTCATTTGTTAAATCAAGTTCTAAATTTGAATAAGGTCTCCGTTCTTCGTGGCGTTGTGTCTGTGTAAAACTGTCGATGTCTTCTCGTGGAATATTTTATCGCTTAAAAAATAAAGAATCAAATAAAAAATAAAGTGATGAAAATCTGAATAGTAAACAGATCGATCAGATCGATTGGATCGATGCAAGTACGAACGCGAGTACTTTCAAAAAATGTTCCGGGCCGATTGATGACTCATTATTCACATCGAGAGATCTTAACCGTAACTAGGTAAGATCCCTCATAAAACTCATTCAACGTCGCTTTTCTCTTGCGCGGACAGATGGCGCTTGTTGCTTGTGACGAGTTACCGCTTATCAATAACGTCTTTTAAACGCGAGCAGCAGTGTATTCAATTTTATAGGAACCAATGTTCATTAATTAAACAATAAAAAGCGGGAACCTTTCTCGCTCGTATTCGTGAGTGGATGCAAAAGACGTCAGCCCTAGTTCACGTAATCTTCTTACACATGTGTGAGCGTGCACCGATAAGATCCGCACGTGGTTGAGATGCGATTCGCCGTTCCTGATAGCGTATCATTGAATGTGCGATGTTCTTTCCTCTCGGGGAATTTCCCCGCGGGAAAATTAAGTCCCTCGCGCGCGAATCGAAGCGCCTGCGTAGCGCGGCTCCGAAACACGATATCACGTTTTCAGATTATATTATGTATCGTATTAGATTTGTATCGGGTTTAATTTTTTTTTCCCCAACATAAGATTTCGCGCTATACTTATTTTCGTCCCGCGACTAAAATATTCCCGCGCTCACGACATGCACATGCACACGTACAATGCACGCAACAGTCGCGTGCTATGTCGCCCGGGTTTAATTATAATCCCGAAAAAAAAAAAAGGATCGAAAGAAATCGCGCCAGCGAGATAAGCAACGGACTATAAATCTCTTCGATAAAGCACAGTATTGCTCGCGCTCTAATGTCCAAGAGCTTTCTCGGGAATTTCTCCGCGATTTGGACAAGAATTCGCTAAATGTTGAAATTGCTGGATAAGATTACAAGAAATTGACTTCCCGATGGCGGTTGACGGTTCCCTCGACGAGTTCCTCGGAAATCCCGCGAACGTAGTGCGTGTCGAGTGGCAGTACGCTCTAATTGATATCATTACGTCGATACGGCGAGTGATATAGGGGGTGTCGCTGCAAAATAATTAAAAACTCTCTCGCGACCTGATGTAACTTAACATAAAGCTGGTTCAAGCCGATCGAATCGCGCGATAAAATTGTCCGTGTAACCGCTTCAGTTCATCTTAATGGCTAAACTTCACCGTTACGTTTCCCGATTACGCCTAATCGACGATGATAACACGATATCGTCGTGAGGTATCAGCAACCTGTATAAATAGACCGAGCACACCGTGTGCTTTCTTTTTTTATCGCGAGGAAAACCGTAAGACAGTGGTCTCAAGTTCAGTTTCTTATTTTACCTTTACGTGTTAATGTTGAAAAGAAAACAAGAGACAAACTGAGAGAAGAAGCCCAAAGAAAAAGGTTTCCTTGGATTTAATCAAATAAAATTAATTTAATTGAAACAAATTTGTCTTTTGAAGTGGATCAAATGTTTGATTCAACAAACAGAATTGTTTGGTTTCTCAAGCAATAAATATTTTTACGTCGAATATCACATTCATTTTGTATTTTCATCAAAACATTACAATGGTTGTCGCAGGCAAAAAATTATTTGTTCGGAAAATATTAAAGAACTTCATTGTTTCAGTGGGGAACAATATTTAATATACAATGAAATAAATCTTTCTTATTGAAAAC